TATGGAACTCATCATAATACAGAATCAATGGGGGCCCTGAGCTTGCTTTTCTGTAACTAGTCGGCCCCATCTGGGGTGATGGGAGATAGTAACCAATCATCGGCATTAGATTCTCATAAGGAGTGCGCAACCTAGATCCCTCACATGCACAGTTCACAGGAGAAACTAATGCCCCCGCTGATCTGGCAGGAGGTGGAGCTCAGGTGAGCAATGGAGAGCGGCTGTAAGTACAGATGAATCTTTGCTTGCTCACCTGCTGCTCACCTCCTACTGTGCAACCTGCTTCCTAACAGGACCAGGGGTTGAGAACTCCTGCAATAAAGTTTCCAGTGAACTTGAAGTTATCACCACCACCTGCTCATCTGTGGTTCCCTATATTAGCGGATCAACCAACAGTGAAGAAAATTACTATACTGGTAAAAGTAATTGTTAGTGATTATGTCAGAGGTGCGTGAACAACAGCAACTCCATCTTGAATAGGGGCTGGAGAGCATGAGGCTGAGACCTCCTGGGTTGCATTCCCAAATAGTTCAGGCATTCTATGTTATAGAATGAGATATGAGGTCGGCACAAGAAACAGGTCATAAAGACCTTGCTGATACAACAGCCAGCTAAATTCCACCAAAACCAAAATGTCAGCAAGAGCGACCTCTGGTCATCGTCACGGCTACACTCCCACTAGCACTTTGACAGCTTACAAATGCCATGGCAATGTCAGGACATGACCTATGTGGTCTAACAAGGGGAGGCATAAATAATCCAACCCCTGTTTAGCATATCATCAAGAAATAACCATAAAAATGGGCAAACAGCAGCCCTCAGGGCTGCTCTGTCTATGGTGTAGCCATTCTTTTATCCCTTTACTTCCTTAATCAACTTGATTTTGCTTTGCACTGTGGACTTGCCCTGAATTCTTTCTTGCATGAGATCCAAAAACCCTCTGATGGGGTCTGGATTAGGACCCCTTTCCTGTAACAATTACCATGAGGCGTTAGGGGTGCTGTTGCATGGTGAGGAAAGAAGAAACATAGCTAGAAATTCAGATTTCCTGGAGCATCTCTTGGTGCTTCTATACCTGGTAACAATGGTCACCAGGAAACTACAGGATACAAAGCCTAAGAAGGACAAAGCAGTGAACATTCAGACCCTTCAGTGAAGACCTGGGGTGCCCCTACCAGGAGTACAATGTAGATCAACCCAAGTGCTGCTTGGAGCTGAGGAGGATCCGGATCGAATGCTGGAGGGCAGAAATGAATACCAACTATGGCCTCAAGGCCAGCAGGATTTGGAACTTCTTTCACTTATTATTTTGTATTAAGTCATTGTGGTATTTTGGCAGGCTACCACCATGAAGGGACTTGGGGAGAGATGGGTCTTCAAAGTAAAGGAGAGCATTTGAGGAGTGGAAGGGGTCAATTGTTAATAGACATCACATGTGTGCTATTTCATGTGGCTCAGCCCCATCTCTGATCCCAGTCACTGCTGCAGAGACCCATTCCAAGGAGGCATTGACTGGTTTTGCAGAGTCTTGCTTCTGGTCCACACTGCATTCCTCTTTCTCCTGCCCTGGCCTTCCTTGATGTGATGGCATGAGCCCCTTTACAGGAATGCTCTTAGCACTCAAGTGTATATAACCTGGAAGTGGAGATGGGGAGATAATGGCAGCTGGGCCAGTGTTGAATGTTAAAGTCTCTTCCTTTCCTAGTAAACTATTCTGAGGCATATTTCTTGAGCCTCATCAGAAGGTCCCGTGTGATGGTGTTCCCAAAGTCCTGGTCAGCTTAATAAAAACACAGATGGTATTGACTTTTTTTCTTCCTTCTCTGTTTCAGTTTGTCAGCCCTTCACTTCTGCTCCCTGGGATCACCTCCCAAATGAATTGCTTTCACCCTGCCCTTTGTCTTCCCATCTGCTTTGGGGGAAACCCAGTCTAGGACACAGATCTTCATAACAGAGCCTTAATTTCCTCTGGCCACCCAGAGCGGCATTCATTCTTAACTTCCTTTAGAAATGCTTCAATGCGATTTGGAGTTAGTGTCCTTGAATAAGCCAATTCTACTTTGGAGAGTTAAGGCTGGCACTTTTCCCCGGAGACGACTTTCTTCTTTGCTGACCTCATTGCTAATGGCCTCATTTATGTCTCTAGTTCTTGTTCTTTTTGGAGCTTAAGTAACACTTCCAGTATCTTTGAAACAAACAAACACAAAGCAAAGATCTAACTAGTCTTTCACATTAACCTTGTTCAGAAGGTTAATGGTAAATATCCTGGTAAATATCCAGGATTTAACAAATAACTAGTATATTCTCTCTAGTATTCCCCTTTACCCTTTAGATGCTGCATTTGTTTTCTTTGCTATTTCAGAGTCTTGCAATCTTGTTTTCTTCCCTTTAAATGACCGACTATTTTCTTTGGCATGGACACAGAGAACAGCAACAGTTAAGCTTATTGCTATATGAAAGGGCCGCGTTTGTTTAGAAGTTGCTCAGAAGGCCGTGAGAGCAAGTGACCTGGATGATAGGAAGTAGTCCCGGGAAACTTACAAGTATTTTTTTTTCCTGTCTTTCTGCCAGGATGCTGGTTTTTCCTTGGCTAATAGTAATTTGCAAGGGTCAAGATTTATGCCAGTTGGAATCTCACAGGGTATCAGTCACATTGCTTTCTTATAAGCAATTTCTTACCCTTACAAGAAAAGGAGTAGGAGCATTGAAAGGAAAATGACATATTTAGCTTAGGGTTCTGCTTGACAAATGGCTCTTGATAACCTTCCCAGGTCAATTCCGGGAGAGTAGACAAAAGCAAAGAAAACAAATTGACTGCAGACAATGACATTCGTCGTAATTAAAGAGAGAACCGGTCCTTGTGAATAACAGAATAAACTTCAAAAGAATCCAGCAACTGCCCCAAACAGACCCATAAAGAGAAGTTAGAAGTTGAAAGTTGAACATTAGGAAGCTCAAGAGTGAATCTGAGGACTGATGTGTTCCACATATTACCTTGAAGACTGTTCAGTTTCAACAAGGGATGGCTCACATCATTAAATGGTTGAGTGACTGTGGTTTCAAAGTCACAAAAAAGCTGTAAATACACATTTCTCAAGGTGGAAGAATCTCAGGATTCCATAACATTGATCTCAGGTTGGAAGACAGTTTCAGAAAAAGGGGTAAAATTTGCTCCACTTTATTTTATCCCATTCTATTTTTTTAAGTTCCTGGTACATGTGCAGGTTTGTTACACAGGTAAACGTGTGCCATGGTGGTTTGCTGCACCTATCAACCTGTCACCTAGGTATCAAGCCCAGCACACGTTAGCTCTTTTCCCTAAGGCTCTCCCCATCCCCATCCTCCCCCAACAGACCCTAATGTGTATTGTTCCCCTCCCAGTGTACATGTGTTCTCATTGTTCAGTTCCCATTTACAGGTGAGAACATTCAATGTTTGGTTTTCTGTTCTTGCGTCAGTTTTCTAGGAATAAGGGCTTTCAGCTTCATCCATATCCCTGCAAAGGACACAATCCTATTCCTTTTTATGGCTGCATAGTATTCTAAGGTGCATATGTATCACATTTTCTTTAACCAATCTATCATTGATGGGCATTTGTATAGATTCCATGTCTTTGCTATTGGATATAGTGCTGCTTGTATCTTTATAATGGAATGATTTATGTTCCTTTAGATATATTCCCAGTAATGGAATTGCTGGGTCAAAATTTGCTCTACTTTTCACTTTACTAGCAATATTACAATGTTTTCTGAGCATCACAAATAATATATAAGAACATTTCTAAATATGGAAGAATATTTGGTGTTTACCTCATCTGCATGAATATTGTAAGAATTAAGAAAAACAACCAGAAACTCAGGAGCCTCAGAGTGGGGTTTAAGAGTGGCAGTGTTTACTTTGAGAATCCCCTTATTAAGACTTACTTCAACAATGCACTGCTTTATGGTTGTATTAGCACAGGTTTCTGCTTCCTATATTATTTTCCTTATAAAACATTTACTTCCAGGACAATGGTTAGATTCTGCTTCCTTAGTAGTCAATCTCAATGAATCTGTTCTACATAGTACCTTCCAGATTAATTTACTTTTTCTTCTCCAGGATGCAGGTAATAACACATCTGATTTCAGTCTTAAGTACTACTTTTGCTAATTTATTCCATTTTAATTTGCCATATTCCAACCCATGAGAAAGGATAATCAATATGATTTTACCTTAAGATATTTTAAAAATTGTAAACAAGCCCAATAGAGAATGACCTTCAAAAAGACTTTTATCTTATGGAGACCAGAATTTAAGAAGCAAGACAATGTGAAATTTCCCAAGTTCAATTAGCTCATCAGGTTATAGAGAAAGAAAACCAATGACTGAGTTATCATTAGAGCCAGCAAGGACCTCTTTAGGAAATGTATATTGCAATTTTAGAGACCAAATATTATAAAAATCTTCTTACTTTCTCATTTCATCAGCATAACGGCCCTTTGGCAATTAAAACTTAAAGATGCCATCATTATTTTTAAAATATGGTTGGTTAATTCAGTCAAACAGATTTAATTCAATGACAAATTCAGCTGAATTATTTTCCATTGTATAAATAAAATAGCTGGCTATTTGACAGAACTTTTCATTTTTCAACTGGAAATACAGGCATGACATATAGATACAAAATTGGAATAGAATGAGTTGATGATTACTTTTTGATAATTATCAACATTTCATTCTTTCCACTCAAATTGACTAAAAGAAAAGTCTTACATGCATCTGCTATCACATACCTGACACTTTAACCCTACAGAATATGTCCATATTTTCTGTATCTCAAATTACGTTCTTTCTGCCTCGAATGCACTTTCTGGTCTACAAAGAATATTTCCTTAATGGTTTATATTGTTTTATATATTCATCTCTTCTACTCATTTATTCTTCCATTTTTACTGCTTGTTTTCCCTCTGTTTTACATTTTCAGTGTTTAGAGAAACCAATAGAAAAGTCACAAAGCTTACCATTTCAACCAAGGATAAATATAAGAACATCCCAGCAGTGACCGTGAAGATCCAGTCTTGAACACATGGATCAGCTGACACAGAAAGGCCAATGTATAACCCCATGAAGGCAGTCAGAGCGCTTATAAAATTCATCAGAATGGCAGTCTTAATAGAAAGTCCAGAGCTTAAAAGCACAGCGAAGTCTCCTGCAGTTTAAGGGGAAAGGAAAATATAATTATCACTTAACGGAAGATGCCTTTGCTAAAGTAACATGCTATTAGCTATTTTGAATGTCAGCAACTGGAACCAATTTTACAGGTAGAGTTGAGTGGTCAGTAAATAAAAAGCTTTCCTATATTTCTCTAGGATTCATAGCCACTTCATTGCACTATTAGGAAGTTGCATTTCAAGAGTTCTATTCCTTTGGCTCCTCCTAAAGATTGTATATACAGAGAGATCTGTGACACATTCTTGAGTTCTTGATATCCTGTGACATTTCCAACTTAGATAAATGCAAAATAGTCATTTGCTTTCCCAGGGTTTCTAAATCTTCGGGCCTGGAAATTTGCCAGGTGAAATCATGACGCTATGTGCGATTTTATTTACTGTAGCAGGAACTGATGTGGGGAGAGAAAACTACCTAATAAGAGATTTTTAGAGCATTGCAGAAGTTGGTTGAGGAAACAAATTTTTTCCCTTTAGAGAATAATTATAGGAAAACAACCTCATTCTCTCCATGCCTTCCCTTCAAGAGAAGATTGACCTGTTAGTAAATCTGAGAGCATCTATTTCTTAGTTAGGGGGATTGAGACTACAATTCAATAAAAAGACAGCTTGGGGACCCAGTTTTCTAGTTCTATTGCATAATTGGTCCCACGAACGGGGCTTGAAGCATCTCTGCTGGCCTGCTGCAGACTGTCACACCGCCCTGTGGTTTTGGGTTGAGGATTGAGAACCACATCACTGTCATAGTAGCAAAATGCAGGACCGTAGATAGGGGATGGCTTCCAGACGAGGTGCACTTTAACGCGCTCAGGAAGGACCTTGGAAAAACTGCTCCAAGAAGGAGCCATTATTGACTCATCAATAATGAGTCAATGTCAGAACTAAGCAACAGACTCTGAGCTCAAGAGGGCAAGAGTTTCCTAGGGGCAATGTAGGAGTAAAAGTGGGAAGCAGAGAGACTGCAAAGAGCCTTCTCCCATGGGAGCCTGTGCCAGACCAGCCTCTACCAGCTCTGGGTCTGTTTCAGATATGTCTGTTCTAAACCATCTTGTGCCCTGGGAGGCAAACTACACAGCTATATTGTCCTCACTTATTTGCGGGATCCAAAAATCAGAACAACTGAATTCATGGAGTTAGGGAGTAGCATGGTCACCAGAGGCTGGGAAGGGTAATGGGGTGGGGAGGAGGGAGGAGGGGAGGTGGAGATGGTGAATCATTACAAAAAAAAACAGATATAATGAATAATACCTAGTATTTGATAGCACAACAGGGTAACAATAGTCAATAATAATTTAATTTGTACATTTAAAAATAACTAAAAGTATCATTGGATTGTTTGTCACGCAAACAATAAATGCTTGAAGGGATGGATACCTAGTTTGGCATGATATGATTCCTATGCATTGCATACCTGTATCAACACATCTCAGGTACTCCATTAATAAATACACCCACTATGTACCCACACAAATTAAAAGAAAAAAAGTTACAGGGCATCTAAGATTATCCAGAAAAAGAGACTTATGAGCATCTGCCACCCCATTTCAATGGCTTTAAACTTTTTGTATAAGTCAGATTGATGAGACCATGGTTTGTTTTTTGGTTTTAGTTTTGAGATGGCGTCTTGCTCTGTTGCCCAGGCTGGAGTGCAGCAGCACAATGTCAGCTCACTGCAACCTCTGCCTGCTGGGTTCAAGCGATTCTCCTGCCTCAGCCTCCCAAGGAGCTGGGTATGGACCACCACGGCTGGCTAATTTTTTGTTTTTAGTAGAGACAGGTTTTACCATGTTGGTCAGGCTGGTCTCAAGCTCCTGTCCTCAGATGATCCACCTGCCTCGGCCGCCCAAAGTGCTGGGATTATAGATGTGAACCACTGTGCCTGACCGGTTTTAATTTAAACGTGATTTTCTTTTACTGACCCATTTGCTGACATGATGGGTAAAGTTCTCCTCCTAATATTTTTCTCACATTTAATATGCAGATTTTAAAGTCCTTGTCAAAACTCTTCAAAATATTTCTCTGAATGACTCTCTCCCATATGGAATTCTCTGGAATCCAAACAGAATCATTCCTGGCCCTGGGGAACATCATAAAGGAGTTTAACTGGATTTTATTCCAAGGTATAGGAGTTATTTTTCTAGTTCTCCTCTCCTTATGGCTTAAATAAATTATCAAAGGAAAGTATTCATCTTTCAATCATAGGTTAGAAAAAAAATCCTGGTAAACAATCGCTGGAAAGATTTCTTTCTCAACAAGCCGGAAACAGTGATTCCACAGTTTAACTTACCCATTTCATGTGGGATTTCATGACACAGGATAGCAATCGTGGTGGTCACTCCCGACTCGGACGACGATGAGAACGCTGCTCCTATAGCTAAGCCATCTGCAAAATTATGCAGGCTGTCCCCAACCAGAATCATGATCGCTAACAAGCTAATGGCTTTACCTGAAGCACCAAATAAACATAGAAGAAGCATTAACAGAGCTCTACATATTTCACGAAATCCCTCAAAACCAACCAAGTTTCCCACCTGCCCTTGGCATTCTTGCATTCCATCTAATTAAATAACATCACTTTGTTTCAGCAAAAGTCAGGGCTAGGGATTCAAATGTGATAACTCACACACTTAACATATGGTCACTGTTTTACTAACCGGTCTCATGAGACAAATTACATGCTGACATTCATTATTTTAACATCTTATGCAGTTATGCCAAAAGAAGAAAATAAAAACCATGTTACTATCTCCCAAAATACCACTGATGACCTTCCCGTATGTCTCTTGTAATGCATTTTAAAATAATTTAAGAACCTTGCTAGGGACTAAATGTTTGTGCCCCCCCAAAATTCATACAAACTTATTCCCCTAGGGTGGTGATATTAGGAGGTAGGGCCTTTGGGATGAAATTAACAGCCTTATAAAAGATGCCAAAGAGCTCCCCTGCCCCTTCTGCCACTTCCTGCTGCAGGAAGGCGCCATCTATAACCAGAAAGTTGGCTCTTCTCTTGCACCTTGATCTTGGACTTCTAGGCTCCAGGACCATGAGAAATAAATTTTTGTTGTTTATAAGGCATCCAGCCTATGGAAGTTTGTTGTAGCAGACTGAGCAGGCCAAGGCACACCTCCCAGTGGAAGGTCATTAAAACAGAGTCCATTTCCAAAGCTGTTATCTGAGTCAGACTGTTCTGTCAATCTATGTCAGTGTACTTTCTGCCACTGTGTGATTGTTTTGTTTCTCTTTCTGATGAGTGCTAATGACTTCCCTGAAGTGCCCCAATCACTCCCCACTGTGACTTCAACAGAACCACGATCAGCATTTCCAGCCCCAAAGTCAGCTTTGGAATAATTACTCTATGTTTTCATCTTTCTGCAAGGTAACATTCAGCACCAGGCCAGTTAGATGTTGAAGAAAATAAAGAAAAGCTTCCATCTTCATGGAATTCTATTACATAATATATATTATCTGGTCAAGAGAGAGCCAATGAAGCCATTTTGATCATAATTGAGTTCAGCTTTTTAACGGACAGAATTTCTTTTCTGAAAATTCTAAATTGTATGTTAGCATAACTCAGTTGTAGAGGTGAATGACTCACAAACACGGGAAGTATTTTGAGCACAGTGCTTATTTGGGAGTAATCTGCCTACATAGACCATTTGATAAGAACAGTCATTAATCCATTGTCATAGGTCATAGTCTAAAATGTCATTATTAAGTTCCATATATTTTGTGTGACAGGTGTAAGTAGTAGTTATTGTTAGTGTTAGAACTGAATGAATGCCTCCTTTTTTTTTTTTTTGAGATGGAGTCTTGCTTTTCTGCCTAGGCTGGAGTGTAGTGGCGTGATCTCAGCTCACTACAATCTCCTCCTCCCAGGTTCAAGCAATTCTGTCTCAGCCTCCAGAGCTGTTGCAACTACAGACACATACCACTATGCCTGGCTAATTTTTTTTGTATATTTAGTAGAGTCAGGTTTCAAAATATTGGTCAGGCTAATGTAGAACTCCTGACCTCAGGTAATTCACCTGACTTGGCCTCCCAAAGTGCTGGGATTACAGGCATGAACCACAGCACCTGGCCAAATCCCTTTTTTTTTAGAGACAGAGTCTTGTTCTGTTGTCCAGCCTGGAGTGCAGTGGCATGATCTCGGCTCACTGCAGCCTCCACCTCACAGGTTCAAACAATTCTCCTTCCCTCCCAAGTAGCTGGGATCACAGGTGCATGCCACCATGCCTGGCTAATCTTTTTGCATTTTTAGTAGAGATGCTTTTCACCACGTTGGCCAGGCTGGTCTTAAACTCCTGACCTCAAGGGATCCACCCGCCTTGGCCTCCCAAAGTGCTGGGATTATAGGTGTGAGCCACTGCACCCGGCCTGAACACATAGTTCTAATAATTGTGCTCAATAAAAATAGAAAGAGGATACTTCCTGGTTTCTAACTGTTGCATGGCCTAAGACTACAAGGGAGATTGCGTTATAATGTGGTTTGCTATCTTATTTGGGGAATATGATTTGATTTATGTCATATCCCATACCATGAAATAAATAACTTCAGTAAATAGCAGATATAGCCCAGATTACCACCTAGGAGATAGCTCTATTTACTGTGTTCCAAAGATGCTCTGTGCATTTCACTTGTAAAAATCATGAGTATTTAGAAATATCACTGTAGGACTAATTTACATCCTTCTTGTGGTTTACTAATTTATTTTAGTCTTTGCTAAAAAGGGAAAGATTTCAGGCAACAACATACGAACACAGAATAAATACTGAATTATTAAATTCAGGGAGTTCTTACTGACATTGCCTGGAAACTCTCAGAGTCCAATAATGCTACCAGATCATTTAACTGTTCCTGCCAATTTTCAGAGATAAAGCTCTTCTTTGTGAAAGGAAGCTTAAAAAAAGCTTCAAGTGATATATTGGACATCACTGCAACATGCAAATAAACTTGTAATTTCCTACATGTAGTCTTGATATTAATAGCATACATTCCAAAGGAGGATTTTTAGCCAATATTATACTCTACTAGAAACCAGTGTGGTCTATTTTTGCTATTATTTTATTATCTCTGATCATGGGTTTCTAAATATTAGATCGTGGATAGGCAACAAGCCACAGGCAAATAAAAATATTTGCATGTAAGCCATAAAGAGCACACTGTGCATATTTCTTAAAATAATTTAAACATTATTTAGCAGGAGTCTGATACAGGAGACTTGCTTGAACTCAGGACGTGGAGGTTGCAGTGAGCTGAGATTGTGCCACTGCACTCCAGCCTGGGCGACAGAGTGAGACTCCATCTCTCTCTCTTTCTCTCTCTGTGTGTGTGTGTATATATATATATATATATATATGCACACACATACACACACACACATACATTTAGTAGAAGATAAGCATTCACTGGTAATTTAACATACTCGTTACAGAACTACCTATAATATTTTACTCATGTACTTGGCAGTCATTGAGTTCCACGTTTCTGAACTATCAGAGATCCTCCATGGTAAAACATGGGGGCTGGAAGTGGTATCACTGTGCTTTTCTAAAATTTAAATCAGACTATGTATTGAATTTTTGCATCTTGTGTTTTGAAACACAAGTTGAATTCCACGGATGAGGTAGCACAAAACAAGTCTTCAAATGTTTGAAGCTTAATTCACTATGTCCCTAGCCAAGGGGCAGTTGACTAATGTAATGTGAATATGTTCACCATTCACTCTGTATGCCGAGCTCAACAATAAGCAAGCAGGTAGGTAGAAGGTCTACAAAATGTTTGAAGACGACCGTCGTTATTCCCTGATCTACCATCCTCTTCCAGCTCCTGATTTGACTGGGCATATCCTTCTTCCAAGACCAAAAACAAAGGGAAAAAAAATCTATTGCAGATCTACTGTGTGCCCAGCATTCTAAAATTACTCTTGGAACTAAAGGTTCAGAAGAAAAAATATTACTAGCAATGTTCTGAAAGCAGAAATGGACAAAATGTGTAATTACATATTCTGAATCAAATAAATAAATTACATGAGTTAATTTATCTAAAACATTTAGAACAGTAGTTGTTATAACAGTGTCTGTTCTTAGTAGCATTTCTATCCCTAACTACATTGCAAGCTAAGGATAAAGACCATGCTTATTTTATTCTGCACTACATAAAACATGTCTGAAACTTGGCAGGTCTTCACACATTTCTGGAATGAATAAAATAATGTCGGAGAATGCATTGATGCATGCATGAATGAATGATCACAAAAATATTGTTGGTGCATTAGCATTTCTTTAGTTCCCCAGCTCTGGGGCTGACTAGCTATGTAATCTTGAGCAGTGATTGAACCTCTCTAATAACTGATTTCTTCATTTGTATAATTCAGATAATATTTACTCTTACTTCATTAAGTTGTAGGAGAATTGAATGAATTGATTAGCACAGACCTGTGCCTAGCATATAAGATGTGTTTAATACATGGTAGCTATTTTTATTATTCGCTGTTACAGAAGATGAGAATAACTAATCACGATGCATAACATGAAAACTGTAAGAAGTTTGTGTCACAAAAGGGTAAAATAAACAAGAAAAATAGGGCAAAACTTCCAGAGTAACAGATGAAAACCAAAACAGGCAAAAGAAACAAAACCAAAAAACTGCCAGAATTATTCAGAAACATAAGCACAGGTTAATCTGGTGGTATCCTAAATTGGTAAATTAAATGCAGAAGAAGGAAAAGTCATAGAAAAAAACATCAACCTTTTTAAATTAAAAATTAAATGAACAAATAAGTTATAGAATAACATGTGAATAAATGAGATCATTGATTTGAACTCCACCATCTCCATGACAGTATAAGACACATTTGTGATGAATTTTCAGTAGACAGCGACAGAAGATGAAAAACCAATGACATCTTTACCCTTCATTGTGAAATAAAAGCCTCAATCACCGCATATTCCTAAATATGTTCAGGAATGAGCTATGATACACACACATGTGTTTACATTAATTGAAGTTTTCCCTGAAGGGAATTAGTTTAAATTAAGAAAAACTTCATTTTTAAAAGAAGGAGTAAAGTTGAGATGAATATGTAGTAAATTTGAGAGCCAGATAGGAATTAGTTTTTATTACAAATCCTATTGAAAAGTTTTTCATAATAAACTACCTACCCCATATGAAATCTATATGGTTTTGACATTTTATTTCAAAACAGACATAACTGTTTTCCATGGTACTTTCTACATGTAAAGCTTAGCGTGGTACTCACATTTCCTGTTGGAGGTTGTCATACTGGCTATTGGCATTTCAGCTGCCTGTGAATCTTCCGGGCTTTGCTATTTTAAATTAAAAAATAACTGATGAAAGATAAGTAATGGCCATCATTTTGTTGGAAAATGAAACATCTGGAGAGTTATGTTGATTTTTAAAGACGTTTTAACACTCTAGATGTGTATTAGACCCTCTGGGTTTCATAGACAAATACAATAAAGAGCCAAAAGTCTATGGCAAAGCAAGCCTTTTGCACTCTTCATATTTAGATGAAAATAGCACTCTCATGTAGACCAGAATCTTCCATAGAGAGCTGAAGGCTACTGAGACAGTCTGTAATTCAGACTCATAAATTATGTAAGGCTTTATGAAATTCAAAAGCTATTAAAAAAATGACTCTCGGCCTAATTTGGCACTTCTCCTGTATGGTGGATTGTAGTTTTAGGATTCCTCTTCTAATCTGTGAGCAGTTGACATATATTGGATAGAAAAGAAACCCATGCAAACTCAACACCTCATTTTATTCACTGCAGCATAATATTCTGTGTTAACTGCTTTGCCAGTCAAAGAATCTTGTCCATTAGGAAAGTAGATCCACATACTTATAAAAGACAACTATAAAAAATTCAAAGGCTTTTTCATTCTTTTATATGACAGAGAGGTGAGATTTTGAAATTGACTTTATAAGTTAAGATTACTTGATTTTATTTGAGACTGACTCACAGTCCAATTTCTGAAAAAATATTTTCCCTTTGTGCCTCTGATTCTATTATTTAAATAAAACTTTTCATCTGCATATTAAATATGTCCTTTTAAAAGCGTATTCATAGAATTCTGTCACCCGAAGCTGTAAAAAATTTTGACACAAATGTAATGAGATAAATGCATTTTTTTGTGTGAAAGAGAAAGTAAATTTTACATATTAGTAAAGTTCACATATTAGAATAGCAGCAGCTATTCAAAAGACATAATGATAGGCTGTTTGTGGAGAAGGATGGCTGAGAAATAAGGTAGAACCCGGAGGGTACAGAGGGCAGGAAGTAGACCTCTTACTTGAAATTGGGTGGATATAGAAACAAAAAACAATGTGATCCCTTTACGTTACAACAAAAGCCTGATTATAATCACAATGCTTTATAGTTCTGTGACAAGACCAGATCAGACATTTATTGTAGAATGTCTTGTCTTGTTTTTCAAAAATAGCTATTTATTGTCACATTATGTAAAGTAACTTAGAGTCAAATATTCAGGACTTCTTACTGATTGGGAAAAAATGTATGTTCTCCTTCCTTATCCTCAAGTTTCTTGAGAAAACAAGAAATTACACTCATCAAACATTCTTAAATGTTCATACGACTTCTATTTTGCTTTAGGTTGAACTTGCAGCTTAAATAACAGGAGGAATTATACATATATTAGTGCACTGAAGTGTTCAAATGGCTCAAGACTAAGTTACCTTAATAGATTTGCTTATATGCATGTTGGGGCTCTGGACACTTCAAAGAGAAAAAATAAAGTCAGCAGTAAAGTGATTTTTAAAACTAACCCCACCTGAAGTTATATTCTTTCAAACCATATTTAGAATATTCAAGCAATTAATGTAATTAAGGTTCTTAAAATCATATTTTAAAGGAAACTTTTGGTTTTTATCTCTGAATCAGCACAAGGTCAGAAATCTACTCCCAAACTTTTATTTTACTACGTCAATGTCTCAGAAATAGCCTCCTCATTTCTACTGAGGAATCTGTCCTTAAACTGTAAACCCCTTATCCCAAGGCCATGGTTCCAGGAGGCAAGAATCCTAACAATTATATTTTACTTCATATTTTTCCCATTCCTATACTTGTTACTTTAAGAATTCAAATGGGAGAATTGTTTTGAACATGATTGGACACTGTACTTTGAGAATTAATACAGAAGATATTATTGTGGAAAATTTAGCAGAATGAAGGCACTTACTACAAAACATCTCATTGGGCAGAATCAGTTCTCTCCTGCATTATGAAATGAACACCCCAGTCCTTGATGCTCTAAGTAGTCCCTTGCTCAACATCTGTTTGTATCCACCTAGTCATGGCTAAGGATTACTCAGAATGGAAAACGCAAAAGTCAGCTTGTTTATGAAAACTTGTAAACACAAGGATTAAGGACAAGTCTATGATGTCAGTCTGATCCATACGTGTTTGAAAGTGATCCAGAGAACAATGATTTGAATCTGTAGAGGGTACTTGCTGCTCTTTAAAACAGCTTTCAGGTGCTTGCAGAGTTTTCTAATCAGTATTTGTCACAGTCAAGAACAGGCAAATCAGGAGTGTGGAATCTAATTGTCTATTCTACTGCTTTTCATTTGTTCATTGAGGAATAAAGAAAAGAAGGTAAGATCAGTAGAATGCTTCAGATCAAGAACCTACCAACTGGATAGTTGAAGCAGATTTGCCTCTGCCTGCCTGGTCACTTAATTCAGAGTTGAGTGCAAGATGGTGGGAATGTCCCACATGCCCATTAACCAATGACAGGCCCTGGTGGATGAGGATGATTTAAAATTAGTGTTGAAGCCAGAAGAACACAGGTATAGTTTTTGTCAATGTCATGGTTCCATTCCATTGCTTATTGACTAAAATGGTGGATGCCACCAAAGAGAACTGGGATGCTTTAAGAATGGAATGCAACTTCAAAAATGTCCAGTGATGATTAAAGGAGGCTTGAACAGTGGTAGTTTTTATACTGCCTTTTTATTTACTAAAAAAAGATATATTTAAATGAAATTAAGTTTTGAATTCTTTCTGACAGAGATACCACAATGATAATAAAACTACCAAAATTGTACCCTGTGACTAGTAAAATAATGTCTCTGGAAATGTATTCATCAATTAAGGCATCTGCAGTTCCTAAACATACACATTCCTTTTATTTAAGGCAATATTATAAATCTTGGAATTATGTTCTTAAAACTCATTTTAAGTTCCCTGATAAGCCCATAAACAATCTGAATAAACACTACATTTTTGGCTGCTCAGAACTTTTTCTTTTCTTTTTTTTTCTTTTTTTTTTTTTGAGAAGAAGTCTCACTCTTGTCTCCCAGGCTGGAGTGCAGTGGCGCGACTTTAGCTCACTGCAACCTCCACCTCCCAGGTTCAAGCGATTCTCCTGCCTCAACCTCCTGAGTAGCTGGGATTACAGGTGTGAGCCACAGCCTTCACGCCCAGTAGAGACAGGGTTTCACCATGTTGGCCAGGCTGTTCTTGAACTCCTGACCTCAGATGATCCACCCTCCTTGGCCTCCCAAAGTGTTGGGATTACAGATGTGAGCCATAGCACCCGGCCCAAAATTTCTTTCACTCATTATCACACTGGATTTCTGACTACGGAGTTATGTGCAGATTGGTATATTGGCCTTCTAATTTAGTTTTCCCAACCCAGACATGTTAATCCATTGGGCATAAGTGTGGATTTGTTACTTGTTTAATGCTTCATGAGATTAGAACTTCTTTAAGGTAAGTTTCTAAACTTTTAGAGTAAGTACTATAATAAAAGTTGGCATTCCTAATTTCCAAATTACCATAGCATCCTAGTTCAAGCCCCAGGCCAAAGAAAAGTCCTGCTCTATTAGAAAACTTTTATAAAAGTTGACTTGTAGTCTGTTTGAATTCATGACATCTATTTACTGCTGCAAAGTTTCAAATACACAAAAAGCTGAAAGAATTGTATTGTAATATAAATATGCAAATATCCACTTTCTGGATTCTATGATAATTTTATTAAATCTATTATTATCACGTATCTATTCATCTATCATCCCCCTATCCATCCATAAATTCATTTTATTTTTTGATGCATAAAACAAAGTATTGAACAAATTTAGGAATGATAAACAATAAGTGCTGTTTTGTTTTTGTTTTTTGAGATGGAGTCTCGCTTTGCTGCCCAGGCTGGAGTGTAGTGGCATGATCTTGGCTCACTGCAGCCCCTGCCTCCTGGGTTCAAGTGATTCTCTTGCCTCAGCCTCCCAAGTAGCTGGGACTACAGGTGCCTGCCACCACACTCATTTAATTTTTTTTTTTTCTGTATTTTCAGTAGAGACAGGGTTTCACCATATTGGCCAGGCAGGTCTTGAACTCCTGACCTTGTGATCCACCTGCCTCAGCCTCCCAAAATGCTAGGATTACGTGTGAGCCACAGCACCTGGCCCATATTTGTAGACATTTATCAGCTACTGGCATAATACAAGAAATTACTAAAGATGAAAAAAAGATTTCCTGCAAATTTCAAAATTCCCAAGATGCTTGTTTTTATAATTTTAAATGCCTTTAAGGTAGAAATGACATGTGGTTTTGTGACTTTTCAGTTTTTGTTTGCTTATTTGTTTAGGTTAAGAAAGACATCCAAAACACTGATTAATAGCTAGAATGTTGGGCCTCTTCACTCCCCAAACATAAAATAGTTCCCAGTTCCTATACCGACCATGAAGGTTAAACAGAAGGTCGTAGCAAGTACATTAACTGCCCAGGAATAGATGTTTTAAAAAATTAATATCCTATTAGAAGGAGCTGTGTATTCTTGAAATCAGAGCTCCACTAGACATCCCTGAAACAGGCAACTTCATTACTTTTGAACAAGTACTTTTGAAGTAGCAGATGAATGTATTATAAGACTCTAAAGCACAAGACAAATAAAACTTAAAATATACCTTGTCATTTGGTGATACAAGAAGAATAAAACATTTTTCTATCAAGAAAAATCCATGGATGCCGCCAATTAATCCCAACAGTTTCCAAATATGACCTTTGCTTTCATGGAAATGCCCAAATTCTGAGGCTTCCTGCTTATGTAAACCAAGAACCTTCAGCGGAAAAAAAAAAAAAAAAAAAAAAAAAAAAAAAGTCAAAAAGGAGAGAACTTTTGATGACTTAACTATCAGATACTAGGCCCAGCATTGAATATATTTAGTTTTCATTCTAGGAAATGCCATGACAACTATTAATACAATCACTAAAAGCCCAGTTTGCTTTTGGGTATGTGAATACTTCCTCTATACACTTTAATCAGGGTCAAATAAATGTGTACAGCAGAAAACAAAGGAGAGCTTTGACTAGCTTGTGTTAATGAACAGAATGAAGCCGAAGCTTTATTTCTACAAGTGCCCTAGCTTTTCATACAAACTCAGTCCTTTGGCCAAACTGTTTTTCAGGAATCCAGTCTGCATCTATTTGTACAACAACGCTTCATAACATATTAATAAAGTTTATATTTCATCTGGGGTGAATTCTCCTCATGCCCCATTGCAATCAAAGCAAACTTTTATTAAATACTCAGATAAGTAAGAACTCCACCATGAAGGCTTGTTCTATTGAGGGCATACTGTATGAACAGCAATATTGTCAGGTCTCTGGGACACAAAATGATACAGGAAATGTGCTGGGAATTTTGCTGTAATTGCCTCATCCCATTGGTTGAGTTATCCTATTGGTCAATGTCATGATTTCCTGTGAGCCAGTAGATCATTCTGTACCATATCCTTTCTCTTAGAGAAGGCAATTTATGAACTAGATCATAAATGGTTTCCAGATTTAGGATGTTATTATTAATTTTTAAAAAGGAAAAAGAAATTATATGTGTATAGATTCTATGTGTATACATTCATACATATATGTATACAGGCACTTATGTGTGTATACATATATATGTGTGTATGGGAGTATACATGTGTATCTACATATATACATTGTATATGTAAATATCACTAAAAACCAATATATGTTAGTAAACTTTTTCTCTTGCTAAGGGCATTAAAGGATACCCACCTAATACTTCTAATAACCATTATTGCACAAAATAGAGAACATTTGTAATATCATAAACTAAACCAGAAGAAAAGCCTCAGATCTCAAAATAAAATGTAGATCTTTCAACTGAACAGATTTGGCTGACTAAAAAAGACAATCATATTAGCATTTTTTCTTATTTCTGTGCAGAACTTTCTTTGAAAACTTGCCAAAGATCACTGATTTTTTCTAGCATGCCACCACACTTGTCCTGCATTTTTCTTCCTCTTTCCATCAACTTTCATCCTTGTCTCTGTGTTTTTTTTTTTTTTTTCTTGAGATGGAGTCTCGCTCTGTCCCCCAGTATAGTGGCCTGATCTCGGCTCACTGCAACCTCCACCTCCAGGGTTCAAGCGATTCTCCTGCCTCAGCCTCCAGAGTAGCTGAGATTATAGGTGCTTTATTATTAAAGACAGGGTTTTGCCATGTAGGCCAGGCTGTTCTCAAACTCCTGACCTCAGGTAATCCCCCCGCCTTGGCCTCTCAAAGTGCTGGGAATACAGGCAGGAACCACTGCGCCCAGCCCTCCTCTCTTTTCTTAAGCAAAAATCTGCCTACGAAATTTCATGAAACCCAGCTAATCTCTTAAATTCCCCTCTGTAAGGTGTTGCACCCATCCCCAAGTCCACCCTCGCTGTGAGCTCCCCCACTGCGGAGACTCAGGCTGACCTGAGAGCATTTTTCTGTTTCCCAGGCTGCTGGGCAGTAAACAATTTGGCCACCAGTGCTGTGACCTAGAAAAAAGGCCTCGGACACCCCCTCTAGTCAATCATAAGCCCTGAAATATTTCCAGAAAATTAGATTATGAGGGAAATTAAAATCCATAATGGTTTTATTTCTCCAATGCTCCCTCTGAGATTTTCGGAAAATTGAATAACAATTGAGCCTCTAAGCAACAAGAGTGACCCTGCAGGAAAATGCCAGAGGCTTGTGGAAAATTTTAACCAGCTCAGCCTTTGCTGGGGGGGATCATTGGTCCACTCTCATTATACCTGGTGAGAGACTTCAGAGAGAAGAGATAACCTCATCTGTAGATGACCTCAACTCAGGTTTTAGTCCTTTCCTTTCTGACAATGAGCCTCAGCACACCTCAACAGGAGGCAGCCTCCTAGCGCTTACCAGCTCCTTAAGGGAAATCTAGACGCTGTTAGGTGAGAAGGAGAATTCTACTGTGATGGCTGAAATAAGGAAACATTAAAGATAAGACTGTTACAGAGATGGGCAGGGTCAAGGGCCTAAACAAGGGATAATGAAGCGCCCAGAGACTGTCAATCTCAGGAAAACACTGCCACCCTTAGAGGTGAAAGGAAAAAGGGAAGAAGGTCAGTGAGCTGTGGAGGTGGGAAGAAGGTGTCCGCTGGAGGCGAGCCTACAGCAGATCAGCCTCTTCTAGAGCAGATGCCATAGCCAGGAGGAAGCTGGGCAGAAGAACCACTGCCTCTCCCTCCTCCTACTCTGCATTTTCCATTGGGCCCTCCATTGGCTGACCCCAAACAAAAATCCAACCTTCAAGGTAGCTGAGGAGGTGCAGCCTTCTGGTAAGAATAGAGAGAAGAGCAAGTGAATTGGGCCATTTTTGCGTTGCTACAAAGAAGTATCTGAGGCTGGGTAATCTATAAAGAAAAGAGGTTTAATGGGCTCATGGTTCTGCAGGATATACAGGAAGCATGGTGTCGGCATCTGCTTCTGGTGCAGGCCTCAGAGAGCTTCCAGTCATGGCAGAGAGGGAAGGGGAAGCAGGTACGAGAGAGAGAAAGCAAGAGAGGGAGAAAGGGGAGCTTCTGGACTTTTAAACAACCAGATCTTGGGTGAACTAACTGAGTGACAACGTTTTTTTGAGAAAGAGTCTTGCTGTGTCACCCATGCTGGAGTGTGGGGTGCGATCTAGGGTCACTGCAATCTCTACCTCTTGGGTTCAAGTGATTCTTCTGTCTCAGCCTCCTGAATAGCTAGGATTGCAGGCACATGGAACCACACCCAGCTGATTTTTGAATTCTTAGCAAAGATGATGTTTCTCCATGTTGCCCAGGCTGGTCTCGAACTCCTGACCTCAAGTAATCCACCTATCTCAGCCTCCCAAAGTGCTGACACTGCAGGTACACGCCACCATGCATAGTTAATTTTTGTATTTTTAGTAGAGACAGGATTTCACCATGTTGTCTAGGCTGGTCTTGAACTCCTGGGCTCAAGAGATCTGCCCAGCTCAGCCTCCCATAGTACTGGGATTACAGACATGAAGCACCACACCCAGCCACCTTTTCTCTTTTATTTCAAAAATACTACTACTATGTGGCGAGCCTAATATTGCAGCATCTCTTTTCTTCTACAAGGGCAGAGGGGCTTTGGAGAAACAACATTTCTTTTTAAAGGAACACACCAGCCACCATATTCTCTGTTTGAAGTCTCAGTAAAATTTTGCATAAATACCTCCAATAATTAAATGTGAAGAGAAATGAAACGAACTTTATCTGAAATGGAAAAGAGCAGATTACCTGAGGGATAAGGTGGAGCAGAGCATCCCCAGACAGTGTACCGACGGCCAAGCCCACAAACAGCTGTAAGATAAGCCTGTAGTTCTCCTCACAGCTATGGAAAAGGACCAGTGCTGTCCCCAGCATGGAGCCCAGTGTAAGAAGGGTGACAGCCACGGTGCTGTAGCCGTATTCTAAGTCAAAAAAGATCATAAACACTTTTGTAACCCTTAGAATTTCATGTTTCTAGGCTTCCTTTTAAAAAATATTCATAAAGGACAATTTGTAAGGTTATTCCAAAGAAAAACAAATACATACATGAAGGGAAAAGAGACAACGGAGGGTAAGGAAGAGGTAAGATTAAAAGAGGGAAGAAATGACTTTCAGAGTCGGTACAGATGGCAGGGATAAGGAGTTATTCTTGGCATCATTTTCATCTGCTGTAGATAGTCAAAGCAAACGGTTATTTCTCTGCCTATTCAGAAATTACTAAACGTCATGGCAAACTAGTTTGTAAACAATGAGGAAGGCTAATTACAAAATTAAACTATCATTTTCTTCAGTGATGACAGATATACAATAAATCAAACAATTCTGGTGTCAAAATACTTAAAACTCATTGCAATTTTTTTTTAAAAAACTATCCACTTAAAGTTTGTAGAAAATCTTTCATTCTCATCATCCTTCCATTTTTCTTAAAGGTTCACACTTTAAATTATTTTATTTTATTTTTATTTTGAAACAGAGTTTCTGTCACCCAAGCTGTAGTGCAGTGGCACAATTTCGGCTTGCTGCAACCTCCACCTCTCAGGCTCAAGTGATTCTCCTCCCTCAGCCTCCCTAGTAGCTGGGACTATAGGCACCCACCACCATGCCTGAATAAGCTTTGTGTTTTTAGCATAGGTGGGGTTCTGCCATCTTGGCCAGGCTGGTTTCGAACTCCTGACCTCAAATGATCCACCCACCTTGACCTCCCAAAGAGCTGGGATTACAGGAGTCACTGTACCCAGCCTAGATCATTTTAATAATATAACTGGTAACAGAAAAATAGTCCTGTGATACTAAGAGGACCTTTACTAAAATATAAGTTCTAAATTACCCAGGGGTTTAATATTAAAATAGAGTTGGTAGTGTACTCAGAAGAGGTAGAAAAACTTTTAAGCATTTATTCCCATACTCCCACTACCACATTTTCACTGCTGTAGAACCTGTATAACATGGTTTAGAAGCAAGGTGAAATAAAGAATTGTTCTTCTGAGGGCACAGAATTTTAGTTTTGCAAGATGAAAAAGTTCTATTATCTGTTGCACAACAATGTAAATGTACCAAATTGTGCAAATACAAATGGTTAAGATGCTAAATTGTATGTCGTATGTCTTGATCAGACACCTACATCATTTTTCTTTCTTCACCGTAATGTAGTAAAAATGCCCATGTTATAGAAACTTCCCTGAAAATATTCAACCAAGTTTCATATCCCATTCTCCCCCAAGTAGACTCTATGCGGGAATGCCATTCTTTTCATTTATACATAAATTAAAGATATTTGAATATTAACATGGGTACCTAGATGTTTAACACAATTTAAAGCTGTCCCATTTTAAAAGAGGTAACTGCAGGCCGGGTGTGGTGGCTCACACCTGTAATACCAGCACTTTGGGAGGCCAAGGTGGGTGGATTATGAGATCAGGAGTTTGAGATCAGCCTGGCCAACATGGTGAAACGCCATTTCTACGAAAAATACAAAAATTAGCCAGGCATGGTGGCGGGCACCTGTAATCCCAGCTCCTCGGGAGGCTGAGGCAGGAGAATTGCTTGAACCCAGCAGGTGGAGGTTGCAGTGAGCCAAGATCTCACCATTGCACTCCAGCCTGGGCAACAGAGCCAGACTCCGTCTCAAAAAAAAATAAATAAATAAATAAAATAAAGTGGTAACTGTAAAAGACCACAAAATGCCAAGAAAGAAAAACACAATGACAAATTGGGGCATGACATTTCCCAGGCAAAAGGCAAAGGTGAAACTTCATCAGTTATTTTGCTACCCCTCACACCTGCGGGTGCCTACCATGCGGGAAAATGAATGTTTCCAAACTTCAGAGGTTAGCAAACCTTTTTAGATTTTCTGTGAGTCATATTTCGCTTGCTTTCATGTAGGGAGGACAGCCACAAAACCATAAAATCTCTGACCTGTGGTCACAGGACTCTGCTAATTTACCCCAGGTCCCTGCTTAGGTGCCATGGAGTCTTGATTGGCATCAGGCAACTTGCAGGCAGGTTCTAAAGTTTCTCATTATTACAACAGAGCTTGACCTATCCACTAAATTCTTAGCCACTTCTGGGCAGCTACTTTCAATAGGTCTGAAACTTAATTTGTGCCTGGCCATAATACTCTTTCCTGGAAACTCAACTGAAGGCGGTGCTTAGCAGTTGAGTTTCAGCATACTGAACAGGATTTTCTTAATAATGTCTCCCCAAGCTCTCCTCCCTTCAAGAGAATGTCATACATTTCTATCATTTCAAAAGACCTTTTGAAATCACCAGCTTTTCTCTATTTGCACAATGCAACATTTTCAATTGAGGACAGTGATATTTTTCTAGGTTCTTGGTTTTTTTGTTTGTTTGTTTGTTTTTTTGAGACACAGTTTCATTCTTGTTACCCAGGCTGGAGTGCAATGGCGCAATCTCGGCTCACCACAACCTCCGCCTCCTGAGTTCAGGCAATTCTCCTGCCTCAGCCTCCTGAGTAGCTGGGATTACAGGCACGCGCCACCATGCCCAGCTAATTTTTTGTATTTTTAGTAGAGACGGGGTTTCACCATGTTGACCAGGATGGTCTCGATCTCTTGAGCTTGTGATCCACCCGCCTCGGCCTCCCAAAGTGCTGGGATTACAGACGTGAGAGGTTCTCGTTTTGAAGACAGGCTCTCTGTCACCCACCTGGAGGGCAGTGGCACTGTCTATAGCCCCCTGCATCCTCCAACTGTTGGGCTCCAACAATCCTCCCACCTCAGCCTCCCACGTACCTGAGACCACAGGCATGTACCACCATGCCTGGCTAATATTTCTATTTGTAGAGTTGGGGTCTCCCTATGTTGCTCAGGCTTATCTTGAAGTTTTGGGCTCAAGCAATCCTCCCAAAGTGCTAAGATTACAGGCATGAGCCACTGTGCCTGGCCTTTCTAGATTCTTTAGTGAGTTGGACATGTTGGGATGTTTCTCAGGAAGACTACTCCCCAGAAGCATCCAGAAGTTCATTTGAAAGGAGATACAACTTTTTTCATAGGTCTTAAGTTCAAAACCCTTTCACGAGCCGCCTGTATGTTCTAGCCCCGAGACAGGTGGTAGGAATATAAAGGTGTCCAAGGATGATCCCCCTGCCACAGTGCAATCTTCATCCATTTTCTGAGCCTCACTGAATGACCACCACCAGGTGCTGAGTTATTTAGCTGCTCACTATTAATGAAGTTATTTTCCTGTCAGTGAATGCTGAATCATATATATTTAGGCCCGGGATGTTTTTGTTCACATAACATTTTCTTTTTTTGTTGTTTGTTTTTTTGTTTTGTTTTTCTAAGACATCTGTGTGAACACGTAACATTTTCAATTAAGCCACTTGATGTTACAGAATCCACTACGAGTTAGAGATGGGTAACTGAACAACTCACTGTGATCAGTACTGTGGCTATCTCAAAGAGAAAGAAACACAGCTCCGAGAAAATAACTTACCATTGACCTGAGGGTCTTACATATGTTAACAGTCATATTTTTACTAGATAACATAGAGAGTTTACAGACAACCATTTCTTTGTCTTTTCAACATACAGAGCTTTAAATTTACTGAACACATTTTTGTACACCTTATCTCATTTGAGCCTCACACATACCCAGTGAAGCCCTCAGAGAGATCTCATCTATTGCAATGACTCAGTGGGATACAGGTAACTGCAAATACTGATCTCGTCCCCTCCTGGGGCTGACAACTACATCTGGGAGGCTGGCATCTCCCTGGATGGGTCACCTTCATCCCACAGCAGCCCCATGTGCTTTGGTTTATCAGAATGTATTTTCATTTTTCATACATGCCATGATGTGAGACAGGCAGCCCTATAGGATATCACTGCTTTCTACTGTGCTGGAGAAGAAACAGTCCTGGGGGGAAATGGCTTAAGATCACAAAGTGTCTGAGGAAAGAAGGCATGACTCAGCTCTGCATTCCAGGTTCCAACACGACCGCTTTCTCTCATAGCATACCACCTCTCAACTATGGCCTTTTACATTGATCCATGATTGAGTCAACTGTAGAAGACACAATTAATTTATATCAACCATATATCAAATGTTCATTGAAGAATAGGATGCATTGTGGCTAGAAACAAGGACTCCAGGGCCAGCTTGGCTGGGTTTGAATGGCAACTCCATCACTTCCCAGCTGTGTGTGTCCCTGGGAAAGTCACTTAATCTCTCTGTGCCTCAGTTTCCTCATCTGTAAAATGGGGATATTAACATCTACCTTGTAGCACTGTTAGAAGTATTAAATGAGTTGATATATGTCAAATGTTTAGAACATGGCCTGGAATATAATAAGTATCCTGCTTTCACTAGTAGTATTGCACACGTTGTGCACATCAGCTTTCTGAAGGAAGATCTAGAACTTACTCTCCAGAGTGGTGGGTGGCAGCTTTGCTTGTTGGTCCTTGGGCAAGTGGCAGGAGCAGCTGAGGAGTTGCTGGATGATCCCTGGACTCATTTGCTTAAAGTCCTCCTTGGAAATGGAGGAGAGGCCCTTCTGTAGAAATATCTCCACCAGCTGCCTAGCAGAGAAGCAAGTCTGTGTGAAGGAAATACACGTTGTTACTAATCTCGGCACTAAACTAGATTCTCCACCAGTTATCATTCTTGAGGAGTGAATTCTAGATGGAATGATTAGAACACACACATGAAGCCAGTACGACACGTGTTTCCCTGCAAACGTTCATCTACATGTAATTCCTAAGGATATTTGAAATCCCTGATCAAAGTCTGCAATACCTTGCTTTTATTACGGGCATGAGTTTAAGTGTTGCACACTTTTTCTTTCCTAGAAAGACACGTTGTGTTTTACAACGTGTTCAGTGTTGTTCTAACCAGGAGCCTTAGGATGTCTTGATGTTTTTGTCGTTTTTCAACGAGGACAGCTTTGTGTTAGCAAAGACATCATACAATAAACAGAAATCCTATGGTAATGAGGTCACTGTCGTTAATACTATTTGATTTAATCATCCTGTGCAGACAACGTGTACTTTCAAAAGTTATACAAGTAAAATTTTTGAAAGCAAACCTGTGTCAACTAACTGCTGTGTAAATACCAAGTGATATGGCTGCCTCTCACAATTGGTATCCCGTCTCTACACACACACACGACAGTTGAAAGCATCATATGCGACTTCACTGATTTTTACCTAAATCTTTACAATTTGTTTTCATATTGCATAGGTATATTGATGAAAGAGAAGAATAAGTAAAAAAACAAATGCCAGTCTCTAAAAATGGCCACAAGACATTTGTCCATCTCAGAATAAAAGCTGACACTGTGCACATAAAAAATTGCAATTTAAAAGTTTTAATAGGTGAATGAGAATGACACGTAGTTTCGCTAGCACAAATGGATGTTTTCTATTGAAATAAGACTCCAATGCAATGTCTCTGTGATCTTTAGTTGCAATCCATAAGGTATTGTTTTAAAAATTAGTGGTTTGCAAGCCTGGTCTGGTTTGCCATGCTGTAGAATTTAGGGATTTTTAACAAAGGCACTTTGTTAATCAGTAAATAATTATGACACAGTTGCTGTTTGTCTTTTTCCCCAAATAAAAACCTTTAGAGATGATATCAGGGATAAAAAGTTTAATCTTGATCAGGAAATGTTTGGGTACATGGAACAGAACCCACTGAAATAAGAAAACCAAGAGGAGATTGTATTAGAAAGGAACAGATAGTCTCGAAGAAGCCAGGGATTGAAAGAATGCCCACACTTCATAAGGAATGACAACTTGAAGCTGGGAAATCAGAACCAAAGATGCATGATCTCTGTCCACACCCTCCTTCCTGCTCCTGCCCCACTTTCCCTCCCTGAGCCAAGTATTTTCTTTTTCCTTTTTCCCTCTACATACATCTATTTCCTTTCACCGTTTGGCCCTCTCTCATTTAGTAAACTCAAGGCCATATAAGCCCCAACTTTTAACTCCAAAACCCAAGAATGCTGCAGCTGATTGATTCAGCAAAGCCACAGATGGTCTCTCTTGGGTCATGTGTCCATTTAGTTCAATCAGTTTTGCCCAAGTAGTAGGAGATGGAAAGCTGTTCAAACGTGGGTGCCAAACTCACGCCTATGGGTGAGGAAGGCATTTCTCTGCAAGGGTTCGGGCAAGAACTCCAGGCAGTTTCTGCTACAAAAAACATCCACAGAAAGCTAAACTTGTATCTTCTTCCCTTTATCAAAATAATGTATGCCAAAGACAATATCCTCTTCTGCATCACTTGTTATTGACAGAATCTATTTCATCATCAATAACATTGACAAAAAATAAAGGGAAACTGCCAACAAACTTCTGATGAAGGTTTCATAATACAATTCCTATTGGAAAATGCCTGACTGGTCAATGAAGGAATGGAGAGAGAAACGAGAACAAAATGCCATCCATCTTTCTCATTTGTCACCAAGTTGAATAGTTTCTAGTTTTAGAATACCTTCTCACATGCTAGGCACAGTGGCTCATTCCTGCAATCCCAGCACTTTGGAAGGCCGAGGCAGGCGGATCACGAGGTTAAGAGTTCCAGACCAGCCTGGCCAATATGGTGAAACCCTGTCTCTACTAAAAACACAAAAAATTAGCTGGGCATGATGGCGCATACCTGTAGCCCCAGCTACTCAGGAGGCTGAAGCAGGAGAATCACTTGAACCTGGGAGGTGGAGGTTGCAATGAGCTCAGATTGCACCACTGCACTCCAGCTTGGCGACAGAGAGAGACTCTGTCTAAACAAAATCCACACACACACACACACACGAATACCTTCTCACAGAGTAATTTTATTGCTTATTCTATTACAAACTTCTGTGTCCTTCATCTTCGCTTGCTACTCTTGTGCCATTCAGGCCATTGTTTTAAGTAAGTTTCTTCTGAAATCACTAATATAAATGTCCTTACTGGGGACTCATTATATTCTATAAAATTTTGAACACAACTATTTTTAATAAAGAATAAAATGAAAATGTAGATTGTGTAGCCACTTATACTTAAAACATCTTTATTCCTTCATATGTAACTTTGAAATATGCTTGCACTTCTGATGATGTCATCAGGTTTCTATGGAAGCTTTACAAACATACTCAAAAGGAGTTGTTTCTAATCTTTAGTTTTGAGGATCACTTGCAGGGCTTGTTAAAAAACAAAGTCCGGCCGGGCGCGGTGGCTCACGCCTGTAATCCCAGCACTTTGGGAGGCCGAGGCGGGTGGATCACGAGGTCAAGAGATCGAGACCATCCTGGTCAAAATGGTGAAACCCCGTCTCTACTAAAAATATAAAAAATCATCTGGGCATGGTGGCGCATGCCTGTAATCCCAGCTACTCAGGAGGCTGAGGCAGGAGAATTGCCTGAACCCAGGACGCGGAGGTTACAGTGAGCCGAGATTGCGCCATTGCACTCCAGCCTGGGTAACAAGAGCGAAACTCCGTCTCAAAAAAAAAAAAAAAAAAAAAAAAGTCCTAGGATCCACTCTTGGGGTTTATGATTCAGGAGATTCTGAGTTGGGGTCTGAGGATGTACATTTCCAACAGCTTCCCAGGTGATGCTGCTGCTGCTGGCCCGGGCACAACCCTTGGAAAACCATCAACCTAAATAATATAGGCAAAGTCCTCAAATCTGGTGACCCACATTAGAATCCCATCAAGAATCACAAAGAAAGTCAGATATCAGGACAGAGAAGAATTACTGGAGAAGAGGTTGTTTTGTTTATTTTGCATAGTCAGCACAGAAAATGATTATTAGCATTCTTAGAAGATGCATGTCTTAAGTAACCCTTAAATTTTAAAACATAACCTTTATCCTTTATTCAAATAGGGTCTCCATAACGAGACATGAACACAAGTGCAAGCATATCTCCATAAAGAGACCCTATATGTTCTCTTCCAGAGAGTTGGCCCGAATTAAGGAGACTTCACACATGTGGATTAACATGGAGATTAACTCTTGTCACCTGCAGTTGAATATGGTAAACATGAGTTTGATGGAGTCGACTTCAATAGATGCCTTTTACACTTGGCACAAGTAACAGAAATTGACTTTTAAAATATTTAACAGGAAAAATATGTGCCTATTTTTATTCAACACTGTATCTCTCATGCCCAGGATGACTACTAGTGTGCAGTAAAATGCTCAATATATGTTTTCTGAATTAATTACGAATGCATTCAATCTGAATTCAAGGGAGGAAAGTAATGTATTTCATTCACCTAAATACCTTGGCTTTGCTTTTATGTCTACAGAGAAAGACTTGTAGAAAAAGAAAACTGTAACTACATGGGAGAACTAGAATATTTTTACCTTTCCAGACAATACACAGTATCCTTTCAGTTTTCTACAACTCTAATAAAACTTTCACAGCTGGGCTTCCTTTCACAACAGCAAATTCTTGCATAAGAAGAATAATGGCAATACCTGATCCCAGGAAATTGGACCACCCTCAGACTCTTTGTCCAAAGATGAAGAGAAATTAGAATAGTCCTGATCATGGGTTATTGCATTGTTTTGTTGCCTTTGAAGTTGATGGATTTTATCCTTTTTGATACAGGTACTTCTGGTCCAGAGAGTGTTGAGGAGTTGGTCTAGTTCTAGAAATTTCATATAAAATCTGGTGTCACATAGAATATAGACAGGTCAAGTTCAGAACAGTCACAATTTCATGTAGTCACAGCATAGATATTCCCTTACAAAGATATTCTCATCTTTTTTTTTTTTTTTTTTTTTTGAGACAGAGTTTCGCTCTTGTTACCCAGGCTGGAGTGCAATGGCGCAATCTCGGCTCACCGCAACCTCCGCCTCCTGGGTTCAGGCAATTCTCCTGCCTCAGCCTCCTGAGTAGCTGGGACTACAGGCACGCGCCACCATGCCCAGCTAATTTTTTGTAGTTTTAGTAGAGACGGGGTTTCACCATGTTGACCAGGATGGTCTTGATCTCTTGACCTCGTGATCCACCCGCCTCGGCCTCCCAAAGTGCTGGGATTACAGGCTTGAGCCACCGCGCCTAGCCTATTCTCATCTTTTTTAAGCTCTACAGATGACAGAATGGACATTTTCATCAATGAAAATGCCTTCCATGGAGTCAAGTATTTTCTTTTTCTATAAAAATGTAAATTAAAGATGAAACTGGACTAATCCTTAAGAAATTATTCCCTTGAGGCATTATATATCCTTAGTAGATTAATTATTACTTTAGTTAGGTCAATCAAATTGTTCTCCTTTTAAATGTATATGCAAAAGAGAGAAAAGCCATGAAAGGGAGACAACATTCTAGAAACAATCTAGACCTTGTTTTCTAACGCAATGTAAAGACGATGACCACAAAATAACCAGAAAACAAATAACAAAATGGCAGGAATAAGCCCTCACTTATCAATAACATTGAATGTAAAAGGACTAAACTCTCCAATCAAAAGACATAGACTGGCTGAATGGATTTTTAAAAAGTAAGCCATTGATCTATTGCCTGTAAGAAACAAACTTCACCTATAAAGACACACATAGACTAAACATAAAGGGAATGGAGAAGGTATTCCATGCCAAGGGAAACCAAAAAGAAAAAGCAGGAGTCACTATCCTTATATGAGACAAAATAGATGTCAAGACAAAGACTGTAAGAAGGGACAAAAGTCACTATATAGTGGCAAAGGTATCAATCTAGGAAGAGGACTTAATAATTTTAAATATATACGCATCCAACACTGGAGCACCCAGATAGATAAAACAAATATTATTAGAGCTAAAGAGAGACACAGGCCACAATCCAGCAAGAGATTTCAACACCCCACTGTCAGCATTAGATCTTCCAGACAGAAAATCAACCAAGTAACATTGAACTTAATCTGCACTATAAGACCAAATGGATCTAATAGATATTTACAGAACATGTCATCCAACAGCTGCAGAACACACATTCTTTTCTTCAGCACATGGGTCATTCTCAAGAACAGATGATATGTTAGGTCACAAAACAAGTCTCAAAATATTTTTTAAAAATTCAAATAATGGCCGGGCACGGTGGCTCAAGCCTGTAATCCCAGCACTTTGGGAGGCCGAGGCGGGTGGATCACGAGGTCAAGAGATCGAGACCATCCTGGTCAACACGGTGAAACCCCGTCTCTACTAAAAATACAAAACATTAGCTGGGCATGGTGGCATGTGCCTGTAATCCCAGCTACTCAGGAGGCTGAGGCAGGAGAATTGCCTGAACCCACGAGGTGGATGTTGTGGTGAGCCGAGATCGCGCCATTGCACTCCAGCCTGGGTAACGAGGGAAACTCCATCTCAAAAAAAAAAAAAAAAAAAAAAATTCAAATAATATCAAGCATCTTCTCTGACCACAGTGGAATAAAACTAGAAATCAATAACAAGAAAGACAAACATTTCATGTTCTTACTTATTTATGGGATCTAAAAAAATAACAATCGAACTCAGGGACGTAGAGAATAAGAGGATGCTTTCCAATGGTTAGGAAATGTATTGGGGGGAGGGGGACAGTTAATGGGTGTAACAAAACTAATTAGACAGAAGGAGTAAGACCTATTATTTCATAGCGCAACAGGGTGACTATTGTCAATAACTTACTTGGTTATTAAAATAACTAAGAATATAATTGGACTATTTGTAACACAAAGGATAAATCCTCGAAGGGATGGATACTCTATTCTCTATAATGTCATTATTATGCGTTGCATGCCTGTAGCAAAACATTACATTTCATGTGCCCCATAAATATACACACCTGCTATGTACTCACAAAAATTTGAAAAGTAAAACAAAAAAAAGATCAAGAATTTTATATCCAGCAAAATAATCCTTCAAATTGAAGGTTTTAAAAAAAGCCACTCTCCAATAAACAGTGAATGAGACAATTTACTGTTAGCAGACCTGTCTTGTAAGAAATACAAAATGAAGTTTTTTAGGCTGAAAAGGAATGACCCAAATTTACCACTTGGGTAAAGTTCCCATTTTGTTCAAGTCCACTCCAAGAAATGACTAGCACTGGAGATGTGAAAATGTGGATTAATATAAAAGACTCTATAAATATATTTTTTTTCTCATTTGTTCTCTAAACTTAATGACAAAATACTATAGGCTTCTCTTTCAAAGTCAGAAACATAATAAGGATGCAGATCACCTCCACTACTATTTAACATTTTATTAGGGTTATTAGCTAATGCAATTAGATGAGAAAGTAAATAAAAGCATGAGAATTAGATATTAATAGGTAAAACTATATGTATTTAGAGATAATATGATTATATATCTGAAACCCCTAAAAATCAATATAAGAATAATCATGAAGCAGGTTATAAAATTAACCTTTAAAAATTAGAAACATATATGTATGTACACACACACACACACACACACACACACAAAGATCAACTAGAAGATACAATGAAAGAGGACCTCATTTAAGACACTCAAAAAGAATGTTAAAGGCATAGGTACTAATATAACGAGAAATGCTTAAAAGCTATGTGAGGGAAATAAATATTTTTAAAAGCAAATCTTTCTCTTTTGAAGAATGCATGGCCACTGTTATTCTTTTAAAGACTGCCAAATTAGAATGTCAAGAATTTATTCCTACCTTCCCTTAAGAACCTCAATAAGATAAGTGGTAAGGAAAGGAAGTTTTTCTATTACAGGATTATTAGACTAGTAAGAAAGAAATGAGAGTCAGAAGGCCACCATTTTATAAGCCTGAAATAATTAATCAATCTAGGCAACTATCATCAATTACTTACAACTTCTGAAAAAGAGATGACCAGATGTTATATGCTTCCTAATGGAAGGTACTAACTATAAAACAGGTAAGCAACCTTATCAAGCCTCTGTATGTAACAACCCCTAAACATGAAACGCAGTGCACAGAAATGCATGATAGACGACCAGAAATGCAATCAGCAAAATCCAGATGGAAAACAACCCCCTTTGTTTTCAACAAAAAAACTTGCAACAAAATAGGGAAGGTGGAAGAGGTGTGACAGGTATAATGGAAACTTAAGGGACATACCAACAATTTACATTTTATGAACTTTATTTTCATCTTGATTCGATAAAAAAATAATTGTTTAAAAAACTGTAAAATCATAAACAGTGACTGAATTTTTTTGTTGTTGTTTTGAGATGGAATCTCACTCTGTCTCCCAGCCTGGAGTGCAGTGGCGTCATCTCGGCTCACCACAACCTCTGCCTCCTGGGTTCAAGCAATTCTGCCTCAGCCTCTCGAGTAGCTGGGACTACAGGCACATGCCACCATGCCAGGCTAAATTTTTTTGTGTTTTTAGTAGAGACGGGGTTTCACCATGTTGGCCAGGCTGGTCTCGAACTTTTGACCTCAAGTGATCACCCACTTCAGCCTCTTAGAGTGCTGAGATTACAGGCAGAAGCCACGATGCCCTGCCTGAATTTTCTATCATAGTAGGGAATCATAATCAATTTTTTACTCATGATACTGATAATGACGCGCTTAAAAAAAAAAAAAAAAAAAACCCAGCTGGGCACAGTAGCACACTCCCATAATCCCAGGACTTTCGGAGGCAGATCACTTGAGGCCAGGATTCAGAGACCAGTCTGGGCAACATAGTGCAACCCCGGTCTCTACAAAAAATAAGAAAATTAGCTGGGCATGGTGACACACACATGTAGTTTCAGCTACTCAGGAGGCTGAAGCGGGAGGCTTGCTTGGGCTCAGAAGTTGGAGGTTACAGTGAACTACGATCCCACCACTGCACTGGAGCCTGGGCAACAGAATGAGACCCTCTCTCTAAAAACAACAACAAAAATCCATCTCAGGGGCATTTTGATGTATAGTTTAATAATGAGTCATTTCATTTTTAACGCCTTGTCGAGCACAAAGAAAGATGCAAAAAAAAAAAACCCTTCTAATTCCAGTTCTGACATCCCATTTCATCCTGGAGCCCCGAAAAGCAGGAAGTCAGGAAAGTGACAGGATGGTTATTTCATGTTACTTCTATTTGAAATGAAATGACTTTTACGATTGCAAGGAAGCTGCTGCCAAATATCTTGCACAATTTGGAACATGATTCCTCCATTCTACAAGACAGTCTGTTAGGCCTGGCCCAGCATTACGTCCCAAATAAGAAACTATTCAGTGACTATTTAAGGAAGATCGTAAAATCTCTTCCTCCCTCTACATCCACAATTCCAATCGCTTAGAAATAGACCAAATCCATGTTTTTGCCTCATCACCACATAGCCTTCACAGCACGCTTGCCTTGAAAGGCCACCTAAGCTGTCTGACTTCATGACTCAATAAAAAGGGTATTTAAAACATGCCTGAATGAATTGTCATCAAGAGCTTCAGCCTTTGCTTTTGGCAGGGTTTATTTAGTTGGTGTGACTTCAAAGTTAAATTCGTGATAACATCCTTACCTGATAGGCGGAGGGTATTCGTACGATTCAACGAACTGAAAATGTACTCTGTGAAGTAGTCTGGGGAAGGCAAGTTCCCCTGTCCCAGACAGACGCCCTGGAGGGACAAAGCAATGATGGTGGCTGCCAACTGTGGAAGCGTATTTTCATTAGCACCTTCGCTGCTCACTATTCCAGAATTTTTCTGTAGTGTTTTAGTTTCCATACACTGAAATCAGATACAAAACAAAGAGAAAACTGTAACTTCTGAAGTTATTTTGATTCAAACACCACTGGAATTTCCCCCAAAAGATAAAAAATAGTTTGCCTAAAAGAAAATGGAATCATTTGGAGAAATATGACGATCATCTTTCTCCTGTCTCAGATACAACTCTATTTGGAAATTAATTGTTTATCTACCATGGCACTGAATTTTCTAACCCTCATCCCATTGATCCTTATTTATCCAGCGTTTCTCACTATCCCCCCCACCTTTTTTTTTGATGGAGTTTCACTCTTGTTGCCAAGGCTGGAGTGTAGTGGCATGATCTCAGCTCACTGCAGCCTCTGCCTCCTGGGTTCAAGTGATTCTCCTGCCTCAGCCTCCCAAGTAGCTGGGATTACAGGCGTGCACCACCATGACCGGCTAATTTTTGTATATTTAGTAGAGACGGGGTTTCACCATGTTCATCAGGCTGGTTTCAAACTCCTGACCTCAGGTGATCCACCCACCTCTGTGTCCCAAAGTGCTGGGATTACAGGTGTGAGCCACCACACCCGGCCTCACTATCCTCTTAAAGATGTATTTTCTCCAAGAGGATCTCCTGCTCTTATTGTTTAACACCCTTAAAACTGGTGGGTTGTTTCTCTGCCCACTTTAAGTACAGCTTGCCGGAGACTGATTTTCAAGCTGACAGTCCCTGCCCTGGATTCACACAGGCTCTGCTGCCTTGCGCCCTCACAGCGTTCTCTATGTCTCATCTACCTTTAGTCCCAAGCTCAACGTCTGCTCATTGCACACCAAACCTAGCACGCCGACTGTGTTCTGTGAACTCCCAGAAGACACAGGGCCTTTTTCAAAAGTGTATAGCAATTTTCCTCAATTAAATTATAAGCATCTGAAAAGCTCTAATTTTGCCTTCTATCCCATTCATAATCCCATTTGGACATTTGAGTACTCACCGTATGTCAGTACCTAAGCCCATTTCATATGAAGTGAGGGAGAAAACATATTCATCAAGAGAGATCAAGGGAAGGTTATGGTGTCAAGGTTGCATTCTAATGACTTAGGATGAGGAGGAAAAGTGCCCACTGAACTTATTTTTTCTTAAGTCTGTATTTGAAGAGCTTGGCAGGAGCGTATTTATAACTGTGGTCCAGAGCAGAGTGGAAGGCTAAGAGTCAATTACCAAAATTTTGATAAATTTGGAGGAGTAGCCACAAGATTCATGGGTAAAAAGAGCAGGTTGAAATGACAGAGTGTTAAGCTGATAGAAGCATGAGTCTTTCATGCAGTCTGTGAAACAATAATGGTCTCAAAACACCATTGTGGATAAAGGAGAATCCCAACCATGGTTCCCATCCCTGAAGTCCTTTGGGTGGGGTCAGGAACGCCAGCCTCCATGCCGTAGGCAGGGCTAGGAGAACACTACGGAGAGGTCCCTGTTCATTTACCATGGAATCAGCCAACAGTGGAGAAAATTAAAGAGGTGGGAACATGGAGAGATTGAATCAGGAAGATAAAACACAGAGAGGTTTGGACAAGAGAGAAGGAATGGAGAGATGTTGCTTTCTGGGCCATTAGGGAGCTTGCCTGGATTGGGGTATCAAGCTGATTCTCTTAGGGAGCTGGTTGAGGCCCACTCGGAGCAGCCATTAGTGACTTGATCTGTGGAAGCTGGGTCCTGTGCAGACAAAGAGCTGGAAATTCAAGTAATGATGGGCCTGGTGAGCCAGAACTCCCCTGACCTCACACCATCTAGTCAGAAAGAACAGCTGATGTGGTGAAGTCCCAAAAGCCTCCTGCAAAGTCTGGACAGACTGACATCCTACAGAATCCTAGACCAGTTGAATGAGCTCACGGATCCTTCCCAGCAACTAGAGACAGTGGTGTCATCCAGGTGTTCACTGGTCTGAGGCCTAGCAAAGGGTTATGACTCTGCAGGTGTTCAACTGTTAATGACTGAAACTAGCTGGATAACAGAGTTCTAGACACAATACTGATTAGTTCTGTTCTGGGGCTGTTTTATCTCAGAAATACTCAGAAGCCTGAGTATTTGCAGTATGTATAGGATAACCAGAAACATGGACATACACCCCACACAATCTGCTTTTAAGTGTTGAGTTTCCATTTCATCTCCATCAAAAGGCCATAATGGGTAGGATTAAAATCTTAGCAGCCGGCTGGGTATGGTGGCTCACGCCTGTAATCCCAACACTTTGGGAGGCCGAGGCAGGTGGATCTCAAGGTCAGGAGATCGAGACCATCCTGGCCAACATGGTGAAACCTTGTCTGTATAAAAATACAAAAATTAGCCAGGCGTGGTGGCATGTCCCTATAGTCCTAGCTACTCGGGAAGCCGAGGCAGGAGAATCACTTGAACACGGGAGGTGGTGGTTGCAGTGGGCCAAGATCACACCACTGCACTCTAGCCTGGCAACGAAGCAAGACTCAGTCGCAAAAAAAAAAAAAAAAAAAACAACTTAGCAGCCAATTTGGAATCAAGTTTGGATTATATAGATGTTGCACAGAAGAAATTATATGCAGGCACACCTCCTGGTTTAAGTAGAAAACAGTTCTGTAAAAGAACCCCTTTTTCTTTTCTTTTAGAAATAGGGTCTCATATTATTGCCTAAGCTAGAGTGTAATGACACTGTAATGGCTCATTGTAACCTCAAACTCCTGGGCATAAGCGATCCTCATACCTCAGCCTCCTGAGTAGCTGGGACTACCAGCTCATGCCACCACATCCAGCTAGTTTTTTAAATTCTATTTTTGTAGAGACAAGGTCTGTCTATGTTGCCCATGCTGATCTCAAACTCCTGGCCTCAAGTGATCCTCTTGCCTCAGCCCTGCAAAGTGTTGGGATTATAGGTATGATCCACTGGAATGGGCCTAGGAACCCCTTTTCCTAAAGTGAAAATAGGAATTATGGCCGAACTTTGAAATTAACAGGATTAGAGCTATGGATGTGATATTCACAAAGTCCTTAGCCAAGAGCTTCTCCATTTGCTTTACCAATAAAAGAAATTAAACATATTTACAGCAAATTAGAGGATATGTTTACTAGTCGTTAAGCTGCAGAATGCCAGAATTGAGAGCAAGAACTAAATCTGTCTATATATGTTTATGAATAAGTCAAGAAAAAAGTGATTTCCCCACACTCTTCAAAATGTACTAATGGCTTCTCAATTAATTGGAAAACAAAAACAAAAAATGTGGCTTAAATAAACCTTATGTTCAGAGAACTTCATCTGCTGAGATTTCCCGCTGCGAACCAGAAATTGAAAACCTAACTGAAAGGCCGGTTTTGCTAGAATAGTAATAAAGGTAACAGAGACCAGGTGGGAGCTGGGAGAGAGAAAAGGCATTTGAACAGATCCTCTACACAGGCAGCACAAATCAAAAGCCACAAAGGGATATCATCTAGGGCTGGCAACCACGAGTAATGCTTTTTGCAAGCTGCCTCTTCAGTGAAATAACTAATGATAATTCATCTCTTTCAAAATGTCTCTGCCGTCTCCTTTCCCAGCCAGAAGCAAAGCAAATAGACACCCTGTTCACCACCGCCACAGCTCAGTCCCTGGAGACTGGTCAAAAAGCCCTGGGTCACACTGACTCGAGTGCTCAGAAGGACCCAGGAGAAGAAAACTGCCCTGTCACCTGGACTGCCTGCCCACCCACCCAACTTCTGGCGAAAACTCCTCTTCCAATTAGTCATTACTCTTCCTCTTTTGGACTCAGAATTTTAAATTACGTCATTTAACATCTCATAACAAAAACCCACAAATACGTACCTCCCTTAGAAGCCCTTGAATGTCTTAGAAATAAATAAGGAACAAAAAATAAGGCTCTAGGACTGCATCTTAGTAGCAGAGCCAGTTCACAATTTTGCCTTCTCACCTGGCTTTGAGAAGTGTCAAAGTACTTCCTGGTGAAAGCCAAGATATCTTCTGTCTCATTCTGTGAAAGGAAAGAGGAGTCTTCATCCTGCCTGAGGCTCAGTAGACTATGTAGGTAAAATTTATACTCTTTATTGCTCATGCTGAGCTTTGAAGAACAGATCTCTTCCTGGTGAATAATGTAATAGAGAAGGAGAAGAGAAACTCTCTGGACCACTTCTTCTCTAAGCTGATCTTCAGCATTTCCTCCGGCTATTAGTAACAGTGCATCTGGTTCAAAGCACTGTGGAAGAAAACAGAAACAACAGCAGCAAAAGAAACAAAGATTAGCAAATAGTTCCAGAACACTGATGACCACTGGGGTCTTCAACGCTTATCATTTTATAAAGAGAAAGGAAAAACAGGCAGGTTCAATAGCCACATTCAGAGAGTTGGACTCCCATGTAACAATGACGCCCTTCTAGGGACCCTTTCTTTCCACTAAGGGTAATTTCCTCTCTACAATTACAGTGGCCACAGGTTGTTGATCTGTCGCCTTGTAGAAAACAGGTTGTTCTTTGGCTTTTAAATTGATGCCCATTTGCCTTGAGAACAACATCCAAACTCCTTGCAATCTTCCTTTTGGTTGGCTCCTGTCTACTCTACCCTCCTTTGTCCTAGCCTTGGTCCAGCATCTCATTAAACTCCTGCCCTGTGATTTTATGTCAACTTCACCAAGTTGTTTCCCATGATCTTCCAGGTCTCCTTGTTCCCCTCATTCGTCAGGTTTCAGCTTAAAATGTCACCCTCTCATGACGCCTTCCTAAAGATTCCCAACCTGTGTTCCCTAGTACAGAGCTATCTGATAGAAATACAAGGTAAGCTGCAAATATGAGCCACATATGTCATTTGAAGTTCTTTAGTAGCAAGGTTATAAAAAGTAAAAAGAAACGGCTAAAAATAACTATTGTAATATTTTAACCTTATATATCCAAGATTAAATTATTTTAGCATGTAATCAAAATTTTTAAATTAAGATATTTTGTATTTTTCTTGTTGAACAAACTCTTTGAAAACTGGTGTGCATTTTACACTTAGCAGCACATCTAAATTTGGATGAGCCACGTATCAAGTGTCCAACAGCTACATGCAGGCTAGTGGTTACTCTGTTGGACAGCACAATTCTGGAATGCACCACTAAACAAAATTTCTTCATAGCATTCATACTCTAAAATTGCTTTGTTTACTTGTTTATTTCCTCTCTTCTCTATGACAACCAGTGGTCCATTAAGGGTAGACTTCATCTCCTTTGCGCACAGTTCTATCCTCAGCATACAGCACAATATCTGGCACTTAAGAGTTATAAAAATTTAACGAATGACGTCCATCTGCCCCTCTTCTATCCTATTTAGGGAAATTGCTAAAAACGATTTTGTTGAAGGGAAATGGAACATACTACCCCAAAATATGCCACTGTGGCATATTCTTTATTTTGAGCTGAAGGCAACTGAGAAACAGCAGGTACAGGAAGGATTCTCTGTCCTTCCCCTTACTATCTAAAAGCAGGGTATACATTTCCCACAAGAAAGGATTCCTTGCTGTATCAGCAAGAGGAGAACGTTGTTATCACTGGAGATGAGGAGTTAATGCTGAGATGAACCTATACAAATAAACCTTACTAAAATAATCCTCCATTGGTATAATTGTTTTAAAAATCATTTTGGTTTCCCATGTAAATTTCCTTTCTAACAATTTACCATCTCTAGTCCAAACTCCCCCCCCTTTTTTTTTTACTCTTGTCACATCCCCACAATTTATTACTCTTTGTTAAAATGGTATATAAGCTCCTCCTTCTTTGGGGTTTTCACTTTTTCTGCGATGCCCCATGCTACATAAAAATATTAACATCAAATAAAATTTGTATGCTTTTTCTCCTTAATCTATCTTTTGTCCTTTTAGTTCACAAGCCCCAGCTACAGAATTTAAAAAGTTAGAGGAAGAGTCTTTCTCACCCTACACTGTGATGCCTTATTTGTGTTACAAACCACAAGCACATGCCCAGCACCTGTAATCTGAGACATTTACGTGGCGTAAGGAACTTGGACAAATGCTGTGGGACAGCGAGAAAACAGACACAGGAATTGCGGACTGGAAGCTTTCTCAGGAAGAGGGAAGCTGCCTTTCTTTGGAGACAGTTGGGAAGCTCCTAAGAATTCTCACAGAGCATGAGAAGCAGCCCCAGAACATAGCCTCAGAAAGCATTGGGAAATTCCTGTCCTGAGTCCCAGACAGATTTGTCCCCTGGTGGGGATATTGCACTACAACATCTTTTAATTTAGTTTTCTTTGAAGTGGAAGTTTTGGGGGCTCTAATTCCAGGTCTGCTGTATAAACCACTGTGTAGCATTTGCTAATCATCTGAGTCAGAAAGAAACAAATGTCATCTATCTCCAAGTCAAAGCATAATCACATTCTTCATAAAACCGCACAGATTTAATCCCATCTGAACCCAACTACAGGGCATCAAGAACCCAGGGGTTCCACCAAGACCAACTAACAACGTGGACATTAGGCTCCCCCTCTAAAATCTCAGCATCCCTTTTCTGCTCCCTAAGTAGCCCAGAAGAAAAGTCCACATCTTGGTAGCTGATGGCAAGGCAAGTACCCAAAAGGTGAATCTGTTGAAACAAAAGAGTAATAAAGCCATTATTTGTACCAAATGAGCTCCTGAAACCAAACTATTGGTATTATTAACTACAATTTGTTGGTAGCCATGTGCCCAGCAATGTACAGAGTACCTTTGCATTCAGTTATTCCTTGGTGGATAATTGGTTCTGAAAAATGCATAAAACAATCAATTTTTTGATAGTAAGAACCCTATTAAGTGTAAAAAACAAAATGTCTCCAGCCTATGTAATAATCCACCAACATTTCTAAATATTTTCTTTATATAACATAAAGCAATTAGAAGACCAATTACTCTATTATTTAATGTGCCATGGATTAATGGATAAATTATGTACAGTATGCAAGGATATTAGAAAGAATACATGAATTACATCTTTCTTCATGAGAAAAGTTTACTCATAGAATATGTGAAAACCAAGACTAAAGTGGGTAAGAAACTTGCCCAAAGCTACACAGTTAATGGTGGTGAGCGTTACTAGCCTCAATTCCTGCTCTTCCAAGAAAAGGCCTCATCCTCTTCTTTTGTGCCATGGAGAACACAGGCTGTGGACCTACTGACACACCTGATAGGTAACCCCTTCAACCAGTAATTTCCTCTCCCTTCCATTTGATAAGAGTAGATGTCACTTAGATGGCTAAGAGATTGGTCCAAATCTAACATCCATCAGAATAAGAACATGGTACAACCAGAGCACTGAATGAGTTTATGTTATACTTTCAAGTGCTACCAAGGTTGCTTGATAGGGCTGGATAGGTAGAAAGAAGAGTGTCTGTGATGGAAGAAGTAGAACATTCATGAGGCCGCAAGACCACACACATGGCAGGGCTTGGGGTACGAGCACATGGCAAAGCATGTAGCCACCTTTCAACCCATCTGAGACGCTGAGATGCCTGTCCATGCATCACTCTTTCTCAGTGCCTTTGCCATGTACCTTTCCAGGGTTGGAATTGGAATGCATGGCACAGAACAGCAGAGAGCAGGGTCCTCACTGTAACTGTGGAGGTAGGCATTCCAGAACTATGTATAAAAAGCATACGACCTGGAAGGTACAATTGGTTTCTGGCTTTGGAAAGCTTGAAACAGTTGTAGAAGTACCTTCTTTTGTCTGAACAGAGATTTTGATAATGTTGAATACACAGGTGTTGCTTCACATTTGCTTTATTTCGAGGTCTGCTAAATTAAAGCTTAACTGTGAATCAAATAATGATGGGCTGGAAACTTTGCTCCCTTTTATGATATTTGAATCTTAAACAATTTACTTTAATACAGAAGGCAGTGGCATGAGGAAACAATACACGTGGAAGCCTCAGAAAAGCTAACATAAAATAAGAATTCTTCCCCTGGACATAGATATGACAAAAAGCATTATTGAGGCTGCCGGATGAGGGCAGAGCTGGAAATTTCAGTTCATCAGCACTAGATTTGTTTTTGTTGTTAAAAGCTGGCTGAGTTGTGTTTGGGAGAGGATGTTTAGCAAAATTTTGCAAATACTGCCACCCCACAGGCATCAAGATCTGTCCAGGGCTGCTCCCTCTGGTGAAGCAATTCTTTGTTTAAGAAGAATGGGCCCATTCAGGAATAATCCATTGATTTTCCTTTTAATCTTGTCAGGTGGGGGAATAAGGTTTAAGGAGGGGGAAAAAAACTCATAGACTCTGAGAATTAGTTTTAATGGCTTTATAAGGAAATAAACTTTGGGAAAAGACTGATTAAAATGCAAGGAGAGGCTCCCCTTACAAGCTAAACAGGCTACTCAGATACTTGGTAGTAATTATCCACCACATCCTATAGCTACATTACATGGCCTGGCCCAGCCTTGAAATTCAGCATTGCTTATAATCTATGCCAGGTAAGAGCCTCAGTGGACAAAAAGCAGCATGGTAGCTGTCTTCTCCTACATTAATAAGACAGCTGTCAGGCCTCCAGGATAAATTTCAGGGGTTTTAGACTGAAAGATGTTTAAAATTGAATTTTGAGTGATGGGTAAATCTTATATTATAGAAATCTAAGAACTTAAAAGTCACTGTCCTCTTTATAAAGATAGAGACTGTCCTCTTTCAATTTCTTAGGTTTCTATAAGGTCTTTTTTTGGGGGTAGCTAACGATTGACTACAAATGTAAGCGAGAACGCATATTTCATTTTTTCCTGAAAAAGAGCTAGAAGGACATTGGTGATGGCAGGTACTGGTTCTTTAGGGCCTGTACTAGTTTAGTGGCTTTTCTGACTGACACAGTTTTTAACTGAGAAGGGTTAAGAAAACATTGATAGATAATAAGACAAAGCTAGATGTTTTCCACACTTTATTCCATGACAGTCATGACAAATGAGTCAGTGGCGAGGGCCAGTTGTGAATTAAAGCAGTAGTTCTCTCCCTCGAAGGTGTCTAAGAATCACCTGGAGAAATTGGTTTAAAATCCTCAGACTCTAGGACAGTGGAGCAGGGCCTGGGGCACAGGTGGGTGGGAGATTCTGAGGAATGGCACTGCTCTAGTGTCCCTGGAAAAGGAGGAACCAGACGTTGCTGTGAGGTGCAGGGAACAGAAGGAACTTGAGCTTCTGTATGTGACTATCTGCATGTATGTCCATGAAGTCCTCAGAGATCTGATTCCTAAGGAGAACACACGTGTCCAAGAGATCCTCAGAGATCTGATTCCTAAGGAGAACACATGTGTCCAAGAGATCCTCAGAGATCTGATTCCTAAGGAGAACACGCATGTCCATGAGATCCTCAGAGATCTGATTCCTAAGGAGAACATGTGTGTCCAAGAGATCCTCAGAGATCTGATTCCTAAGGATAACATGCGTGTCCATGAGATCCTCACAGACATTTTCCTGGGGAGCACACATGTATCCATGTGATTTTTCATAGCTACCTCTCTCAGGGGCATATATATATCCATGTGACCCTCACAGAGGTCTGAGCCCCGAGGAACATGTGTTTGTCCTTGTGATACTCACAGATCTCCCCAAGGAGGGGCTCCTTATCTCAGCCTTCCAGGTTGAGGAGCTGAGGCTCCTCATGTCCCAACAGTAGAAGGTGCCAGAAGAGGGCTCTTTTCCTTTCAGAAACCTGTTTAGGGCTATGGTTCTCATAATTACTGAAGTGGAATGTATTGTTTGGGAGTTATTTAATCCCTCATGAAGTTCATTAAAACTATATTCTGACCCTTCTTATTAAAGAAAGAAAAAGCCAGGATCAGCCAAGAACTCTTCATTTTCAAAGACTGCAGCTTGACTGAATTTATTTTAAAAGTGCAATGCTTTCAGATACTTCAGATTGGCTTTTTAAAAAATTCACTTTTTACACAGACCTAAAACTGGAAGCATTTTTCCTCCCCACAAATTTAAGATACCCACTTCCCTTTCTTCAGACATTTAGGGATATGAACAAGCTCCCTTAACCTCTCTTTTTACCACAGAATTTGTGGCATGAACCCTGCCTGTCAGTAGACAAAGTCCCTCAGTGACAGAACAGACTGGACCCTAAGCTGAAGCCCTGTGATTTCCGCCATAACCGGGTGTTTGTGAAATCAACAGGACTCCCTTTCCTCTTTCTTGTCATGAGCGATGGGACACATTTGCTAAGCTTCTCCCTGATGGGTGATTCAGGTGAACTGAAGCCTTCTGAGCAGGGAAAGCTGAGATTAACTCCTCAGTTTCTTTCCTAGAGAAGGAGGGTGAAGCTATTCATGATAGTGTTTCAAGTCCTAGGGATGGAACCAATTCAAATGGGGACCAAATCAGCTAAACTCCTGATGATGTCACAGAAAACAATAAGCGCAGAACAATGCTTCCCCCAGCCCTGAAAATGGAGAACAATTCTGCATATTTACCTTCCCCCCAGCAAAACTAATATGGGACCGGCCTTAATAAGGCACTTCACGTCCTTAAAGGAGAACATTCCCCTGAAGCGAATCCTCAGAGGACATGAATAAGAGATGACTTCTGGTTATTTCAAGTGGGACGTCTTGTGTTGCTATCTATATATATTAATGTCATCACAGATGAGTTGCCTATTATAACACATTTCCTCTGGGAACCATTGGGTATTTTAATAATTATTGAATTATTTATTGCTCACGCAAAGCAGAGAAAAAGTCTCGGTGAGCAAGACCTCTTCTGTTAGGAAGAAACAAAACGCTTAGTCAGAAAATCTTCCCCTCCCCATCCCCCCCCACCTCAGAGCTATGCATGATAGAGAAGTACACCAAAATGTGTTTTGAAGACAGTTACTAACTTTTGTTTTATTTACATATGCATGCTTTCATTTATGCTTTTATGGGTTCATCCTAAAAAATTGTGTGGGTAACGGGATGGTGGGGTATGTCTCATTTTTTTCTGCAGTAATTTAAACACATGAGCTCTTACCTCCTACCATCCTACCCCACCCTCCCTAATGAAGATTCTCAGCCACCATGGATGGCATATTAAAGTGACCTGGAAATACTTTAAAAAATTCTGTCCTAGGCAAGTAAAATCTCAATCTCTAGAGGATGAAGCCCAAACATGGGTATGTTGGGAAACCTACTCAGCTGATTCCAATCAGGGTTGAGATTGACTTTGTAGCCTAAGATCAGGCTGTGAATCAGGCCTCAGGAGCCATGGGTCTGACTTCAGCTCCACCTACAGCACCTGTCACCCCAGCTCAGATTCCTCATCAGTAAGAAGATGATTATTTAATCATTAACTGCGCTCCATGCATAATATTAGAAAATGCCATGCCAAGAGAAACTACTTAAAAATCTAACGTTGGACAAATATCAGATTACTGTTATTGTGCTCCAGAAAACCAATAGCATCTAAAACTAGTCACGTGCAGGTGCACTGACGGCATCAATAAAGATTAATCAGAAAAGAGGACTAAAAGTTCACGCTCCCAAAGAAATACCTCTAAATATACAGAAGGTTCTAGAAAGCCTTATATAAACATTATTCCTTGTACAACAACAAAAAGGGCCCTAGGTGCTATAAACAGAATTCTGAATGACTTGCTGTATCCCAAATATGGAAATTATCTTACCAGAATGCATTGCCCAATTGCATATTGGAAGATTGGCCTGTGATTTAACTTTACTGAAATAAACCCCTATAGAATCCACTGCTTTCTTTTGGACATGTCCTGATACCTGACACCATTCTATGTCACTAACCAGATTGCAATCTCCTTGCATTCCGTTTCTCCTCCGTGGACACCCAGTTTTCTCCAACAATGTTTTGATGAGGCTTCTTGAGTGGCTGTGGGGTATGTGGTCACCAGCAGAGAGAACCTGCAGTAGGTCTGCCAATTGGCCTGAACTCCCACGACCTCTGCTGTCTTGGGTTGAGAGTTTGTCTGTCTCAGTGGAAAAAACAAGGCCCAGTAGAAGAAACAGCGGCACCCAGGGTACTGAAAGCTTTGTCCAGAAGCACATTTCCACACTTCCTCCACCTTGAGTCTGTCTTGGATGGAGATGAGTGTGTTGCCGTTTACAGGGTAAACTTGTAACCAAAGGAATTTCTGTGGCAAAGGGGAAAAATAAAGCCTTCAATTATTGTGCCTGCAACATATTTGAAAGGACTCATTAATTGGGTGGCTAAGCTGATTTGCAATGACGAGCTGTCTCTACATAGCAGGGGGTCTGTATAATTTTTTTTAGGAAAGTACCATGGCTGTAGACTCTCAAACTGCCCAAAAGCCAAAAAGCTTGTTAGATTCCCTCTCCCTAAACTAAACATAGCATCACAAATGAAGAGTAAGTTTCTCCATTTACCAGCAGGTGGTACAAGTTCTAGGACCCAGGTTGGGAAACACCTTATATTTATCCCATTATAAAGAACTCCAAGTTATTTGTGGTCCTCATCCCTAAATACAAAGAGAAAATAAATTCTACTCAATCACCAACATGATGTTAAAAGGTTTTAGACAAGGAAAAGTACTGGAAGAAAATCAATGTTCCAAAAACACAGGTCTGTTTTTTTAGTTTAATGAAAGTCAAGATTCTAGAGTAGGAAGCATCTTAGAAAAACAGAATTCCAAGACCTCAAGAACGTGACAAACATGCTCACTCAGTGGTGACTAAAGGTGTGGGGGGCGACGTTAGAGCCAGTCAACTTTCTGGGGAAAAAATTATCTTTCTGTTGATGGCTTAAGGCATGTAAAATGTTAACAGCATCTCACGTCTGATCCTGGCCCAGAGATAAGCTAGCTGGTAAATGACTGTAGGCTAGTAACAAAGATATTGGGATTACTTTTATGAGTTAAAAAAAAAAAAACCCAAAGACACTTTTAGGCTGTTATGTTAGCATTTTAAAAGTGACAGAGAATGATGCAACCATTTCTAACCCCAGTGCTTACCTTCAGAAGAAAGATAAACGATTCTTTATCTGGAGCTCCACAGCCCTTTAAATCTTGGAGAGTATTTCACAGTTACAAAGTTCCCTGTTTTTAAAATTCTTTGACTGTGCACTGGGAGCTAGAGAGGATTATTTCAGCCCAGAGAAGTTTTCTGTTGCTATGGAGAGAGCTGCTCTGAAGGTAACAATGAAGGTGGATAAAAGGGAGAACTTTCTCTCTGGTAGGTTTTCAGGGTAATCAAATCAGTGTGGTTCATGAATTTAACGTTTTAGATCAAGATTTAACCAATTTTCTTAGGCTCACCTACTGTCACTTGCCTTTCAAGGGAGAGAATCTAGGTCAAAGGATTTCACCTCGCAGAATAGAAAGACTAGTGTTAGATGAAGAGTTTTTTCTCTCTAGTTGATTTTGTAATAACTGTTTCATCCAGGCTCTAACCAAGGATTTGTTGAGAAGACAGGCTCTTTGGAACCATATTTATTTTACAAGATGCAGATGCCTAAAAGATTGAAGGCTTTCATAATCAGATGTTTTCAAATGAAAAGTATTGGTTGAAGGAATGAAGTTCTTACCAGGGAAGTAGGTGGTATAAACCAGGAACTTTAATCAGCTGCATGTATTGTGAAGACCAGCACTGCTGGTAGGAGTTACTATGTCAGATCCTTCATGCTCCACAAAACAAAGCCTCTCAACAACTTATTAGTGAGTAAATGACTGAAGGAACAAAGTGGTTCATTTTCTAGAAGGCAAGAGAAGTTAAACCCTAAGATTTTGGAGTGGGTAAAGTACACGCCACAGTACAGGGGTTTAAATCTGCTGGTGGGCAGGTAGAGGAAACTAGAGATCGGGATAATTAGCCTCATCACTAACTGGGTATGAAATCTGGGGACTATGGGGTGGAATATTCCTGAGAGAATGCTGCTAACACTGATGGAAATACAAAAGGCAAATATTCCTAGAAAATTCCAGACCTTTTTTTGCGGGGTGAGGATGGAGTCTTGCTCTGTCGCCCAGGCATGAGTGCAGTGGCATGACCGTGGCTCACTGCAACCTCCATCTCCTGGGTTCAAGTGATTCTCCTGCCTCAGCCTCCTGAATCGTGGAATTACAGGCGTGTGCCACCACACCTGGCTTTTTTTTTTTTGGTATTTTTTAATAGAGACAGGGGTTCACCATTTAATGATGGCCAGGCTGGTCTAGAACTCCTGACCTCAGGTGATCCACCCACCTAGGCCTCCCAAAGTGCTGGGATTACAGGCACAACTCACTGTGCCCAGCCCAGGCTTCTCTGTGATAAGCCCTCAGGAAACAGTGGGGTTTAACTAAACTGTCAAGGAAAAGGACTTGGCTTGTATCTTGTGAGCTCTGTGCTGAGATTAACTGAAGTTAGAGTCTGGAATGAGCAATCAAAGAGAGGAGCAGGGAGTTGGACTGAAAGTCAAGCCCTTGAATCCGAGAGTCCAGTGAGTGGAGAAGCGAGGAGGGAGCAGGCTCGGGAGCAGAGGGGCACGCGAGACCATAGCTCCCTGCCAGCTCCTCTCAATGCCAACTGTCATCCCCACGGTGGGGACCAGAGATTCTGGTACATTGTGTCTTTGTCTTCATTGGTTTCAAAGAACTTATTTATCTCTGCCTTAATTTTGTTATGTACACAGTAGTCATACAGGAGCAGGTTGTTCAGTTTCCACGTAGTTGTGCGGTTTTGAGTGAGTTTCTTAATTCTGAGTTCTAATTTGATTGAACCATGGTCTAAGAAACTGTTGTTATTCTGTATTTGCTGAGGAGTGTTTTACTTCCAATTATGTGGTCAATTTTAGATTATGTGTTATGTGGCACTGAGAAGAATGCATATTCCGTTGATTTGGGGTGGATAGTTCTGTAGATGTCTATTAGGTCCACTTGGTCCAGAGCTCAGTTCAAGTCCTGACTACCCTTGTTAATTTTCTGTCTGGTTGATCTAATATTGACAGTGGGGTGTTAAAGTCTCTCACTATTATTGTGTGGCAGTCTGTCTGTTTTTAGATCTCTAAGAACTTGCTTTATGAATCTTGGTGCTCCTGTATTGGGTGCATATATATTTGGATAGTTAGCTCTTCTTGTTGCATTGATCCCTTTACCATTATGTAATGCCCTTCTTAGTCTTTTTGATCTTCATTGGTTTCAAGTCTGTTTCATCAGAGACTAGGATTGCAACCCCTGCATTTTTTTTTTTTTTTGCCTTCCATTTGCTTGGTAAATATTCCTCCATCCCTTTAAGTTTATATGTGTCTTTGCACGTGAGATGGGTCTTGACTATCCAAAGAAGAGAGAATAATCAAATAGACACAATAAAAAATGATAATGAGGCTATCACCACTGATCCCACAGAAACACAAACTATCATCAGAAAATACTATAAATACCTCTACACAAATAAACTAGAAAATCTAGAGGAAATGAATAAATTCCTGGACACATGTATCCTCCCAAGACTAAACCAGGAAGACATTGGATCCCTGAATAGACCAATAACAAATTCTGAAATTGAGGCAGTAATAATAGCCTACCAACCAGTGTTTCTTAAAGTGCCACTTTCAGGCATAAAAGAGGCTAGTGGAAATAGAGAGTTGGTATGAAGAGGTCTGATGGGAGTGGGCGCTTCATTTCATAGCTATTCTGAGTCACTATGAGGGAAGCACTGTGTACACAGGTGTATTTGTGATCCATTTCTGCATGGAAAATCGACACAAACGTAGTCACTTACAACATGTCAAGTGGATTATTTTACAATTTCTGTGGGTTACAAGTCCAAGCACAGCTCAGCTGGGTTCTTTGCTTCTGAGTCTGTCACAAGGCTACAATCCAGGTGTCATCCAGCACTGGGGTATCTTGTGAAGGCTCAACTGGGGAAGGATCCCTTTTCCTGCTCATGTGGTTGGGGACAATCTAATGTAATCTAAACACAGAGTGACAGCCCATATTTTACTAGTCAGAGGTGAACTGCAGGCCCCACCCATGCTTAAGTGGAGGGGACACCATATAGGTTTGAATACCAGGAGGTGGGGATCACTGGGTACCATAAAGTAATGAGGATAGGGATGGAAAATTATGAGTCAATATGACAATTTACATCCAAAGTCTGTGTTTGTCACCTCTACTCTCTCCAGGGGAAGTAGGTGGAACTTCTAATGACATTTTCTTTATCTCCTAACGCACTTTCTAATGTTGCCTTTAAGTCCCCCTGAATTACCTACAAATGATACCCACCAAAGGACATCTTCAATATTTGATATTTATTCAGAATCTTGAGAATTTTTTTCTTTATAAATTAGCCTTATTTGTTTGATCCTAAAATTAAGAGCTCTAATTTCATATTAAAGAATATTAAAGTACAGGACGATCAGATGTAGATCTTTACTCCACAAACCAAAAACATTACTGTTTCCAGAACTTTTTTTAGAAAAACAGAGGGATGATATTTAATACTTTATACTGCTTTTAAGATTTTGGTGTCAACTGATGGATATATCAAAATTGTGTGACTCGTGTTAAAATTTCTATCTTTTAAATAGCCTTTAATGATAGTTTTTTTTTAATGTGAACTCAATTATTTCCAAGAAAGAATAATTTGATGTTATTTATGTGGATTGAACTAATGGCATTGACAGCATTCTACCAAATAAATTGTTCAATGATTATGCAATGGATTTTTGTCTCAGTATAAAAAGGGATCATTCCAATATTTGTGTAATTATTAATATAACATGTAGTAAAAAGTATATTATGTGTAATATACAGATTAAAGCTATGTAAAATACATTCATGGCAAAAACACTGGGTTTCAATAAACTATTAATAGCCCGCTGGTGGTAGGAATGTAGGTGATTTTTCCTTCTATCTTTTCTATTTCTACCTTCTATTGAAAGCTTGTATAATTTTACACAACCAGAAAAAAAAATCATTGTCTTAGTCTATTTTGTGCTGCTATAACAGAATACCATCGATTGAGTAATTTATAAACAACAGAGCTTTATTTGGCTCATTGTTCAGAGGTTGGGAAGTCTGAGATTGAGGGTCTGTGTCTGGTGAAACCCTTCTTGCTGCATCGTAACGTGGCAGAAGCCAACATTGTTAGGATCTACTGCTAAATGTAGAATTAGAAGCCATCAATCAATGAATGGAATTCCTACTATTAGGCGAGGGGCTGGAACCAGCAATGGAAGATTCCAGTATGGCAACAATATAGAAGTATCAAAACGTCCTTGAGCTGAAGAAGTGGGCAAAAGTCCCACACTATGGACATGGACCTCAAGTGAATCCAGCAACTTTTCCTACAGGATGTTAAATTCATTGAGGAAATAGTACTTTCCCTTGAGTTGGTTAAACCCACCTATCCAATATTGAAGAAAACCACTGCTTTCTCAAATGGCTTATCTATCAGTCAACAATTACCAGCCGGGAGCGGTGGCTCAAGCCTGTAATCCCAGCACTTTGGGAGGCCGAGGCGGGTGGATCACGAGGTTAAGAGATTGAGACCATCCTGGTCAACATGGTGAAACCCCGTCTCTACTAAAAATACAAAAAATTAGCTGGGCATGGTGGCGCGTGCCTGTAATCCCAGCTACTCAGGAGGCTGAGGCAGGAGAATTGCTTGAACCCAGGAGGCGGAGGTTGCTGTGAGCCGAGATCGCGCCATTGCACTCCAGCACGGGTAACATGAGTGAAACTCCGTCTCGAAAAAAAAAAAAAAACAATTACCCACAGTGCTGTGATAGAATGATAAGCTCATGTGAAAAATGTCACCTTCAGTCTAACTCTGGGCCTCCATGCAGGCTGATGGAGGGAAATTCCATCCTCAGGTGGGGCCAGAGTCCTAGGTGAAACATCAGGGAAACTCATCAGTTGCACACTTGAGTAATTGCTAAGAACCTTCACATCCTAATCCCCACCATCCAGTTAGTCCAGTTTTGGTTATGGCCTCTGCTATTTCCACTCTGCATATGGGGCTCAGAATCTTTACAAAAACTGAACATTTGTCTCGATTTCAGGCATTCCTCTGAGGCCTGGCTTCAGAGGCTGTGTCACCCAGGGCACCGTTTCAGCACAATGGGTTAGCCTCTGGTTCTCACTGGAACCAGTGCCTGTATGGGCAGCAATTCCCTCCTTTTCTTCCTCCTCTCAAAGATGCTTTCATCTCTTCCCTCATCCTCAGGGCCCCTGGCATCATCTCTTTCATGAAATTTGGCTCTTATAAAAGCCAGAAAGCCCCTTTGATATCAATCAGTTCTGCTTGATCTGTGCAAAAATTCCCAAAGCAAAAGAGCACTAAGATTCTAGCTACTGGTTTGGAATAGGAAAGGAAGTAGAGCAGGTTTTTAAAAGAGGTAATCCCAGAATGATTAGCATTATAGAAATGGAGGAAAATAATTCTTAACATTTATCAAAGAAATGCTTCCTTTAACAATATATTTTTTCAGAAATAATTTCTGGAAAACTTTACTTCCACAAGTTATTCAGCAAGCACATGTTTAGAGCCTGCCAAGTGAAGTATACAACTATAGATATAATTTGTATATAACACAAGATATATAGCATCAAAACCCTGTTCTCCCATGTGCTATGTCTAGTGGGAGACCCCGGCCCCTCCTAACGCAAAAAGGTTGAGGATATATCCTGTGTTCTACCAGTAAAGAGGATTTTCCTTTTAATTAAACTTGGGAGAATTGACAATAATATAAAAATATAAACCCAACTGGGGGTTTGTAAAGACAGGGAACCACAAAATGAGGTAGCCTTACCCTTAGCAGTGGGTCTTGACCTTGTTTTGCCTCTGCATCTTCTTCCAACAAACTTTTCCTCAACTACTTCCCAACCTTCCGTTCTCCATTTCTCTGAACTGACTCATGCATCATCTTTCACTTTTTGCATTACTTTCTCACACCTGGCATAATTCCCAATGTGCACCTTCATGGTTTCCTGTAAGTTTCCTTCATTCCGTTCCATTCAATAAACATAC